AGAATGAACAGCTTATACTACTGCAACACATACTCTACATTATGCAGATAAACAGAAGATACTTATTTTTGTAGATGCCTGGAGCTGTCTCTCTCTAGATAACTAATTTCACTTGTAGATTTTACTACTGGTATTTCCAACCTTTTATAACACATACTCCACCTACCAAAGGAATAGATGTTATCCCTTTCTCTAGTCAGGGCAACATAAATTTGGGAGTTCTAAATTTCTGATCATCCCAATAAGTTATTCTTGAAGGATTAATAAGGGTGCTTTACAACTGAAGGTTTGTGACTCTGGAATATTCTCTTCTTCCACAAAGGAAAGATTACAAACATATTTTTAGGTAAAGCACAATATGCCTCAATATATTTTTTTTGGAAAAAAACAGTTTGATGGGTACTCCTTTTATGTCTGGAAGGAGGTAATGTTAATTATTTCTGAACTCATTCTGGTATTATTTTTTTAACTATCAAGTCATACTACCTTTGTTTGTTGCGAGACAAGTTTATTAGTTAAATGTTGTGAAGTAGCCAGAAGACTTATGACACAGGATTCTTTGTAAATAAACGTGCATTACTATATTACCTGCACTGCAATTTGTGTTCCATTAGATGTAGCCAACAATGTAACAGGTCTGGTTTCTGTGGTCACTAGATGATGCCCATGCTGCTGATGTCCCATTTCTGAAGAGGCACTGTGGAATGCTGCTAAGTCTTGAGCCACAATAGCAACCTTCAATAAAAAAGAAGAAAATAAACTCACCTAAAATATGTTACAGTATTGTCATTCATTTTGGCTGACTGTTAACAACAGAGTCTAGCTGGAACAATTAAATATATTATTTTTTCAGCAAAACAATCTAAGAAACAGAGAAATGACAAACAGTTAAAGCAATACAACTATCATTATATTCATACTCCTCCTCAAATGGTAAAAACATTCTTAGAGTAGTACTGCATCATCTGTACACTGGTGTACACAGAGCTGTTTAGTTTGTGATGATTTATGCTTACACGATTTACAAAGCATATATCATCCATTTGCCAAAGCACACTGCTTTCAACATTAAAGGCACTACTCAAGTCAATATAAGAGTACCTGCCAATATGTGTGGGAATAGCCTGCTCTCAACTATTTGCACCTCATTAAGACTTGCTACTCAAAGTGGGTACTCAGCTTCTGCTCTTATCTTTAAAGCTGTAATTAAAGGGTTGCTAATATAACCTTTTGCCTCTAACACAGGGCTGTCCAAGTTCTGAGCAGCTAGGGAGACTGCCTATGAAAGAACTCCATCCCAGCCCCCTCTCTTTTTGAGTTGTCTGTTTTCCCCTTCTCTCTCTCTCACTGCCCATGTGTCCATCAACTGGTGTGCCTAGGGGATGCCCTAGGGAGGGGGAAATTCCCTGTCTCTGTGGTCAGGTTTATTGTTAAACTTCCCACCTTTGACCTGGGAGGGCTGTCCTAAGGCTGTAGTTCCTCTTCAAGGTGAGGGATGACTACTCAAATTCACTGGTCAACATCAGTGATGCTTAGAAAATACTTGATGTTGGCTGGGCCCAGGTGGTGAGGTCAGAAAGGTTATAAATAAGGTCCCTCCATCTTGGGACAAAGGGGGAGACATCTTCTGGTCACTTAATCAGGATGAAGCTGCGTACCTCCAGAGTCCTTTGGACGCTGCTGCGTGTAACTTATCTGAATTGTAGCCAGTAACGTAGACATAAGTGTTCTAGACATGTACTCAAAGGGCCAATGAGCCCCTTATACTGTTTTGCTCAAGGCTGTTTTCTTTCAAAATTTCTTTTGGTTTGTATTCCTTCTCTATGCCCTCCCCAGGGGGCACAGAGCCCAGACAAAGACCAGATCCCTGGTGGTGGCAGCGGTTACCCCAGACTCCTGCATGTGCTCCAGGAAGGGGGTTGGCCAGAAGTAGGCACCCCAGGAGAGGCACTCAAGGCTTGGTTTTTGGTTGGGTGCAGTAAGGTGGGTGGCTCAGTGCAGGAGTGCCCTCTACTGGCCCACCACACTACCCACCTAGGTCAAGTGCCACCAGGAGCAGTGGGGACTGGGAGATCCCCCCTGCTTGAAGCAGAGGCTGGAAGAGGAGAAGAAAGCATGGAATCCCCAGTTGCTAGTGGCAGGAACAATGAGGGAACTAGCAGCCAGGTCCATGACCTTCCAGTTGGACAGTCCTATTCTAACAACAGCTTAGATTTAATGGGACTTCATCACTTTCAAGTTTACTAACAGCAGTGCTGACAATTATTAAGTTGGGCTAGAAGGATTCATCACATGTCTTGAATGTCAGGCAATTTTATGTTTGCCAATCAAGCTGCCATATTGGCTTACACTGTATTATGAGAAGAATGCTGTGGTGATGTATGAGAAACTCTGTTGTAATAAAAATAATTTTATGTGGACTATATAATATTTAAGTGCTTTTAAACCATATTACAAAAAAGAAATATTTATAGTGAAGAAAATTTTACCTGCTGTCCTTCAGTGCCCTCTGCGGTAACCATTGCTACAGAATGTGTTCCTGCAGAAGAAATGACTGCATCATGGGCGGGGACTGTGATGGTGGTGCCATCTTGTGTTACCATAGTGATAGTGTTGCCAATGGCCTGCATGTCAGCCTGAGATATGTTGACCTGGAAACACAGTACACTTTTTGCATTAAAACAAGTTTATTTTTATTTCTGATTGAGAGAATATAAATGACAAGAGATTTAAAATGGATTGACATTTATAGAATAAACTCCTGCCAACTAGTACCACAATTTCTTTGTCTGACAGTAAATGAGTAGCAAGCCAGAATGAGAAGGCAGCTTGTTCTCAACAGTCCCAAAGAATATCTTGTATATGACCCAGCCCTTGGGGCTCCCAAAGGGGCCAGGAATTTGGGGTCTGGGCAAGCATGGGCAGAGTCTGCCATGGAATGGAGCCCTTGTGGGCACCTGTGTTGGCAGGAGGTGGGGTAGGGTGGCAAGAGACCTGACTACCTTAACCTCTGTGCTGCTACTCACCACCCCATGCTACTGCTGCTTGCCCACTACCACAGCCACTCGCCCTGCCACCACCAGGACCAGAACTGTTTCAGGAGGCTTTTTACTTAGAGGATCTGCCCAGTGAAGCATCCCATGGTCCAGAGCTGGCCCAGGGGCACAGGTGACTTTGATACCCATGAATTACTGGATTACTTTTCAATATATTCCCCTTTGATTTAAATGCACTTGGTCTAGCACATCTGCAGCCTGGCCACAGAGATTCAGAAAAAAATTCTTAATTAAATTTCAAAAGATTTTCACAGACCAAAGTACTGATATATTGATGTGTCTGTCTTTGTTAGGCACCATTATTTTGTTTGTACAAAACTTGTATGTGGACATGTTAAAGTTAGTCACCAAAGATTTGAAAAACGAATAATGAAATCAGAACTGAGATTAAGAACCTCCATAAGAAAGGTTCGATCCTAAAAAACATCCCTGAGGATATGGCAACAACACAGGAGGATGATGTCCCTTCATAGTCCATAGTAAAAGACTGGAGAGCTATATTTAAGCAAGGAAAAATCAGCACTGAGAATAGGCCATGGTGACAATAACCCAGGGACCACAACAAAACAAGTTGATGCAGCCATGAGATAGTAACGAATAACAGAAGATTTATGGTAGTTAGACACATAGCTAAGACAGTGGGCATCAGCACTAGGTAAGCGTATGTCAACCTCAGTGAAGATTTGGCCATGAAAAGTTGTCAACAAGATGGATGCCCAGAATGTTGGGTGCTGATCAGAAAATGGCATGGGTTAAATTTCCAGAAAATTTTGGGAACAGTTCTAAGCAAATCCAAAAAATGCATGGGTAGGATTGTGATTCAGGATGAAACATGGATTCACCACTTTAATCCTAAAACAAAAGAGCAGACATGGTCTTCACCGCCCAAGAAATTCAGGAAGATGACATCAGTCAGTAATGAGATACTCTTGGGGGTCTTCAAGAGGAGGTTAGATGAGTATCTAGCTGGGGTCACCTAGACCCAGCACTCTTTCCTGCTTATGCAGGGGGTCGGACTCGATGATCTATTGAGGTCCCTTCCGACCCTAACATCTATGAATCTATGAGATGGCCATGTTTTCTGAGACAGCAAAAGGGTAATCATAATGACCACCTCTCAACAGGCAAGACTATCAATGAGGTGGGCTTCACTATGCTCATGAAATGTACTTGTGAGAAGTCTTTGTGAATAATCACTATCAAAGTTGAGTCCAGGAGTGCTACTTCTCCAGAACAATGCCAGTTACATTTGATCAATGTGAGAGATGTGAGAGCCAATATAATATATGTTTCCCTCCCTTCCTGGATTCCCATCTTTCAGCCTAGCAATGGGCAAAATTAAGTCTTGCCAATGAATCTGTTTTTATGGTCTAATAATTGCTATATATTTGGCAATGACTTCATGACCAAATCCAAGTACTACCCAGGTGCAGGACTGCTTAGCTTCCAAGATCAAATGTCTTCAGTTTGGTACATTTATATGCTAATACATCTATTATTCAACTATTCTAACCAAACACAATGGAGATTAGATAAATGTCAGCCATCGTTCTGAATGTCCTTATCAGAATGGTCTTTACCATGGTGAATACTTACATGTTGTGTCCCATCCTGGGAAATAAGTGCTACTTGTTGACTAAGTCCTGATTGAGTAACTGTGGCAACCTGTGCAGAAATTACATCCTCTCCTTCCACACCTGTCACATATGTTATCTGGGAGCCCTTAAGCACATCATCACCCTGACCTATTTGATGAAAAAAGGCAGAAGAATATTATACATATTGAAAATACAAATAGCTATGAGAGTGAAGCTAAGAGGAAAAATAAAAGCTAAAAATAAAACACTTTCTGGCTATAAGATTGTAAATTCTGGGAAGGAAAATGGGGCAGGGGGGAAGGAACTGAAAACTTAGATCAAAATCAGATCAAATTCTTATATTTATTCTGGGGCATACTTCTTTCAACAGTGGGGAACAAAGCAAATAAGTCTTGTGCACTGAGAAAAAAATGACACGTTTGCTTATATATCATGTTTGCTTAGTTTATAGACAAAGAGAACATTAAAAATACCGACAAACTTTACTATGATTCTTTCGGTTACACATTAACTTCTATACACTAGCGGTTTGATGGAAACACAATTGGCAGCTTATAAAAAGAATTATTAACTAACGCAATAAGTTTCAGAGAAGAGACACCATTGTGTGAAAACATTATAACAGTACATTACCTTAATAAAAGTTTAACTTAGACAAAAGGAAACCTTCTATTCTAATTTCTCTTTTATTAGTGTTCCATCAGAATTCAACAATTTACTGAAGAGGTGCATCAGTGCAATCTCCCAAATACAAACAGTAAAACTGAAACAATTTTTGTAATCAGATTAAGTCATTTGTTTAGAACTATTTGATATACAACCTCAGCACTATGCAAAATCAGAATCTGACAAATTATGTTCTCAGCCTTACAATAAGAAAATTAATTTTCTCAATGCTCCAGTCAGTCTGTTTAAAATCACTGCATTGTAAACAGTTTCAGTGCAATCTACCAAACTATTTAAGAAAAAAAATCTACACTCCTGGTTCCTACACATAAAAATAATTTCCAATAGGGAATACTTTGCTTAGGGATTACCTGGGGGCTAAATCCAGATCATAGCACCCTACTTAACAGCACCTTTGACCCAAAGGCAGTACAGGGTGGCTGCCTTAATAAAAGGCACCACATTTTGGTCTCAGGAATAGCTCAGAAACAGGAGTATAAACAGGTATGGAGAGCTACTTTTTTCTTTCATTCCCTAAGGCTGAATGCCTTTAAACCACAGCACAGACTTTCATCCCTTTTTTATATACCCATAAAAGAATCTTTTAGGAAGTAAGGCAAGCATTTTAGTTAGCCTCTTGCAGGTAGTTTCAATAGAGATATTTATAGTGGTTACAACACTGGGACATATTTCTCTCTCAGCTTTGCAACTGACTTGTTTTATGATCAAGTCAATTAATCTTGCAGTGCCTGTTTGCTCATCTAACCAGTGTACCTCACTTTGGGGTTTAATTAATGTTTGCAAAGTACTTTAGGATTCTCAGATAAAAAGACAGTAGATAACTGAAAAGTATTAAACATAAGAAAATATTTAATCTATGCTGCAATTCCCTTAGTTACAAGGAACATCAGAAAATATATTGAATAATAATTTGGGAGGAATTACAGAAAATTCCAGTCATTGATGCTACACAAGATTACTGAATTAATGGTTCTTAGAGCTCTCCCTCCCACTGCCCCAATCTGCCAAAAAATATCCAATAAATTGGTGCTAAAAAAGAATTGAACCAAGCCTGAGTTGATACAAATGGTGAAAAATAAGCAACCAGAGTATTGTGGGAATGCTTTAAGAACAGAAGGAAATAACATAGAAAACGCTATAATAAAAGATTGTGTCTCAGGGAACAGATGGGTTGATCAAGGAAAAGGTGATATAAAGACACAGTGGACTGGACTGGATTGTATATAATCAGACTAGCCAAGCTGACAACAGACAGAACCAAAGCACTTGTCCATCGAGTTGCTAACCCTCTTAACAAGGATGGCACTTGACACAATTATCAGTTATGGGAGGAAATTTAGAGTCAGAGGACATAAAATACAACACACAGACCTGGAGGTGGTTCAAAGAAAGCTTCCTGTTCTTCTTCAATGGGCTCTGTGTCATTGTGTGCTGTCCGCTTGTGCATAGCCAGTGTGGAAATCTGCTTGTATGTTTTCCCACAGTGATTACAGTTGTAAGGTTTGGAATGGGTATGTACAACATGGTGTTTGTATAAACTGGAATATTCTGTAAAACGTTTATCACAGCCAGGAACTGTACAGACATATGGCTTTTCACCTAGGTATAAAAACAAAGGTAATTTAAGAAAACTGTAACCATGATGAGGAAAAAATTGACAATATATAGAGATACCACACCCAGGCTCTGTGCAACTTGCATAGACATTTAATGACTTACCTTCATTATCAAACAAGTCAGCCTAGTATTCTCTAGTTTTTTTCCCTAATTCAGAAGTGACCACAGTGCAGCTCTGAGTTTATCAATGCAGACTATGGTTTTCCTTCTTTTCAATACAGAGGTCGGTCAACAAAGGTAGACCCACCAGCCATTGGAAGAAGCCATTTAAATGAGGAGAGCGCAAAACATTTTGGAATATGTCATTTTAATTTCAGACACACTAAAAAGGAAAGCAGACGTAATCTGCTCAACCATGTACAAATGACATGTAGCCATCAAAGCTCCTGACAAGGTAGCAGTGTGGTGCTCAGCTTGGCAGTGCACTGAATTCTGCCCTATTTTATTAGTTGTTTCTGCTAACTATAGTGGAAGTCCTGTACTTTTCCTTAACAGTCAAATATGTTATTTCCTTAACTTTATTTTAATTTACTATTGATAAAAAACCAAAACCTCAGTCATCTTAGCTCCATAAAAATTCTACATCATACAAAAATTCTACTCATATATTAAAACAATTATGGGTAAATATAATTGATGTTCTACATATCATATCGAATTTTTTTTAAAAGGAACCTAAATTACAAATCCCCAAACATTTTGAGAGGTATACAATACCTTGAACTCCATAAGACTCTGCTAACTACAGAATACAACAGATATAAACATGATGGCTATAACTTTTATATCCTGCACACAGGAGTAGTTACTTTTGCTGACTTATTAAGGGAGCCAGATCTTTTTTTTTATCTGCTACGTGAGAACAGAAGTTTTAATTCTCTCTTTGGAAGGAAGAAATAGGACAGGGTCAAAGTCCCACAGGGAAGAATCCTAGGGTCAGCCAAGCTTAGCTGAGATGTGTGCTTTGCTGTTATTTAAGATAATAAAAAGACAAACCCCAGGAATGGACTAAATATTTGATACAAAGTATACTGAAGTCAATGGAAGCCTTCCCACTGTCTTCAAAGATCTCTGAATCAAGCACTAGCTGTTCTGTGCTGAGAACAGGGTAAGGAAGCCAACTGCTCACGATGGTCAACAGAACCAAGAGGAGGGAAAAACAAAACTATCACAAACAGAACATGTCAATATAAGAATTTTTATAGCTCGGTTCTAATGTGTGGCAATAACCTGCTCACAAAGAAATTGCCTGTTTACAAACAAATTGTTCTTCAAGCAGAACAATAAAATATAACTCACATACCTGTATGTATTCTCACATGATTCTTATAGTTAGTTGCACTGGCAAATGCTCTCCCACATCCTGGCTCTGTACAATAATAGGGTCTTTCACCTGTATGTGTTCTGATGTGAACTTTCCTAATATTGGATGTTGTGAATGATCTGCCACAACCTTCAAATGGACATTTGAAGGGTCTTTCACCTGGAAAAAATACAAAAAAAGTTACAACTAGCACTACTAAAATAGTTGATTTAATTTAAATGCAAGTCCAATCTGTTTAGGCAGCAACATATAAATCAGGGAGTGTTGGTACTGGTGCCTTACTGGGTAAATATTATTTTGGATTGCCTACATAAAAAATCATTTCCAGTTGGACAAATTAGTCTTCTAACTGGAAGGTTACCTGTTTTGAATGAGAATTTTCAGAATCTGTATGAAGCAGTGTTTATCACCAGTACTGAAACAAGCTAGTATGCAACAACTGTAGATCTGGACATAAAATCTGTCACTGGCTCTGGAACATTATATCAACAAGAGCCATAAGACAGGGGAGGCCATCTGGACATCTGCAGCCAAGTGTCCTGCCAAAACTGTCTCCACCAATAATGGCTATTGTGATAACAATACTTTTGTATGGCCTAATCTTAAATACTGCATAAGGGATAATTAGAATTAGTGGAAAGGCACATAGGAATTCAAGAATTCAAGGAATTCTGCAGCAAAAGAAAAGTACTTGGTTATAAGTCTTGGATCACATCTCACCATGAGCAGATGTACAGGCATTTAATCTGGTCTTTTGTAGCAAAGAAATATGTCCTGGGAGTCTCCCACTGATAGAACATTGGATCAATGGATTGGATAGATCTTTCCAGAAAAACATTCATGATTTGGTTAGTGCATATCTGTTTCAGAAATCACTGCTGAGGTGTAGAGCCAGTGGGGTCATCCCATATTGATGACACCATTTCTAGAGCTTGATAGCTTCTTGGCAGAGAAGGGATTCAGAATGTCTTTGTTTGTTTGTTTGGTATACTGCATATGTTATTTATCACATACAGGAACATTATACAAATTAGTCTGATGGCTACATAGCTTCACATAGCTTCAGATCGTTGTGAAGCCATGTACCTTGCATCTGCACATGGTTCAGGCAAAGACCTCAATCTGTTCCTGTTAAGCATTATATCTGGCAGGTGGGAGGAGCAGGAGGAGATAACCCTTCTGCATTTAATGGCCCCAGCAAGCTCTTTCTTCATAATAAAAAACAAAACAAAACAAAACAGGCGTACAAGCCTCTTCTCCTTGCAACACTGGATGAATCTCCTTTGGACTCAAAGATGAAGCAATGAATCATTTCTGATTGAAGAAGATTTATACAAGAAAGATACCTGAAGAGCAGTAGCATAATTATGGCATGCTAATCAGAGCAGCTGCCCCAGGCACCAACTTGGGAGCGGTGGAAAAAAACAAACACTGCCACCATGGCCACACAATTATCCTGGCAGCACAGCAGCAGCCGGAAGATGCCACTACCCCCATGTCACAACTGCCCTGGGCATTCAGCTGCATTGTTATGCCTCTGCTGAAGAGGGCAAGAGAAGGGAAAGAGAAGGAACACAAGTATGGCAGTAAAGAGAGGATGTGATTGAAATGGCCACAGTTATGATCGATAACACCCTGCTGTCTGATATTTTGACAGATCAAACCTGGTGAACAGCTTCTGAAGGCAGTGCTCCCAAATGTCCTGTCACATTTGATGATGTGCTGCATTACTAAAGAAGAAAAGGGGTTAGCAACCTCCTTTATATTTTGCTTTCTTCTTGGCTTGATATTGAGGTTGCTTGATTTAGAGCAGTCTGGGATTGAATGGTGCAGTTGAAATATGGTCTGGGGCATAAAATTCCAAGAAGCTGATCTTTAATTATAAATGCCATCATGTGGAACTTTCCCAAGGTGTCACCCTGGTTAGGAAACCACTCATTGTAAGGCCTGGCATTGGTGACATGCAGCTATATAAAGGTAGAGTATAATTTTCCCCCAAATGCACTCAACTGCCATCTCTCTAGTACAGTTGGGATTGAAGTGAAAATAGAAATACTTGATAGGCAGCTTCCTGAGCCTGACGAAGGGTTGTTGAACCCGAAAGCTTGCTTAATAACTATTCTCCAACCATTTGGGTTGGTCTAATAAAAGATATCAAATTCACCCAAGGAACCTTGTCTGCCTGATATCTCAGTAGGCATTATTGTGACTGAAGTCCAGCTAAAGGGATTTAGCTAGATCAAACAGACCCTCATTTATGGGAAGAGCAATCCTGCTGAGCAAAAAACTGACAGAAATGTCAAATACCTTGTGAGATTTTTCCGATATCCATTGTTGGGAAGGGCATGAACTTGGAATTAGGGCAAGACCCTCACCATTTTGACCTATGACAGGTTTTCTTGATTAAAAGCTAATTAAAATTAAAAGCAGATTAAAGCACAACTGTCTTCTCAGCGAAGAAAATCACTTCTTTATTGGAAAGCCAAGCCCAAGAGCTGGGCATTATTCAATCAAGGTGGCATGAGGATACAGTTATGTCTAGGAATAAGAACAAAGAACGTATTTACACCCCCTGGAAGGGAAGGTGTAAATGACTTCTGGGTCATGGACAGTTCCTCCCAATTTCCCAGTGGGGCACTTCACTTTTATAACATGGTTCCTTGCTAATTTGGTATTTCTGTGGTGATTGGTTAATCTTGTTTCTTCTGAGGCAGGGCTGACCACACATAATCCTTCATAGTCTGCATGTGGCCCCAGAAGATTAATGTGCAGCCTGCAGGCTCTCATCCAGCTCTCACTCCCCACATAGCTGTGGTTGTAACAGCAGCTGGAATCTCCTCTTTCCTCCAGCTGCCCCTTCCTGCCTTTGCCCTATGGGGCAGGCCAGTGAGGCAGCGTGGAGAGCTGAGGGTGAGTCTGGGATCGTGTGAGGGAACCAGGGCCACATTCACAGGGTACTGCACCAGCACAGTGCATTGGGGGGGCGGAAATTGTGCTTGTGCAGTACAATGGGGGGTTGGGGGGGAGCACTGGCATGGCATGTGGCCCCCACTGGTGTGGCCTGCAGGGGCTTATAAATTGATCAGCCAAGGGGTCTTTTGCCTTCCACACAAGGAAAATTGTGTGAATGTGAAAACAGGGTCTGAAAGGATTGCTGACATTATCTTTCCTAAAATTTGTGTTATATCCGGTGTTCCAGGCAGAAAAAAATGCAGCTTTTCTTACATAGCAATAGCTTGTGGCAGTTTCATCATTAGTGATTGTTATGATTCTGGATATCTGACCTGCTGATTTCTGAAATAAAGTGCTTATTCTATACTTTTAGCAAGAAAAAAAAATTTGCAGAATAGCTCCTCTCTTAGCAAAATGAAAAAGGTTTGGTTACACAAGATAAATTCACCTATGGCAAGACCTGAAACAGGCAAAAGTCCTCATACCAGGACCTTATTTACACCGACTTCATCTCCAGAGTCTCAACAATCCTCACAAGGAGATCCTGGAATGATCTAGAATCCTTGGACTCCCCCTACAAGGATACCTTTCTGTAAAGTTTCTTTGGTGGTAACAAAGGGTGCTGGTGTTGCCCCTCCACTACATTTGGTTCCCACGGTGCTCTTACACAGATGATCTGGCTACCAGAGATGTTGGCAAAGAGAGTGATCTCTTCCTCAAATGTGGTGAAGACCAGCTTCCTGATGCATTTAATTGTGGATCCCACTCACCCCAACATGGTGGTACATAGGATGAGTACAATTGGTCCACTGGGTATTGACTAATCCAGAGCCAATCTTGAAGAAGTGGTGATGGCAAATCCCTGAAGTTGAACTTTTACCTTTCCATGGTGTCAAGTACTGACCTCATGATTCTATGATTCTTATGGGACAAGGAGGTTCAATACTCAAATGGAGCAAACATATACACTGTTCTTATTTTTAAAAGTCATTGTGAAATGTAAGTGCTTCATATACTTCAGACATTCATCAGCTGTAGTGCCAAAAATGAGCCTATAACTGGTATCACATGGATCATCATTTTTATATTAGTTGAACTTCATTTTAAAAAGTGAAGAAAGCACCTTTTCAAGATAAAAAACCTGAAATTTTAGTTTATTTCTTCAGTCCACTAATGACAAATTAAGTACCAACATGGCTGTCCTTTTTAATCTGTTGTCCACTTTAAACACAGCACTTCAGGATAGTAAACTTCTACTGTCAAACTCATTTGCAATATAATGCTACCAGAAAGATACACAATAAATAATGAACATGACCTCTGCTTTGTAATTTATATTAGCCTATTTTAAAGACCACACTGATCTCTTTTGATACCCTTAAAAAATACCAGCTTCCTTACATGCTGTTGTGTTGTATTTTCACATTTGTTTGTACTAAGTGCTATCCAACTTGTTATTTTTGCCACAGAAAAGACTTGGAGAACTTTTGAAGGAACTGATTCATCCCATAAGTAAAAATTAAGCACTCTAAAGACAGAAGTAAAATAAATAAAGCTCTAAGAAATAATTATCTCTCACAGAACTCCAAAGCAGTTCACTTTTTGGCAGAGGAAATTGTATTTCACTCCTTAGAGCAGCTGTTCCAGAAAAGTTTGTCAGTTTACTGCCAAAAGAATATGTGCAGTTTTTAAGCACACATGCCTTGATGTGGCGTTGCCATGGTGCCTATAATCCTTCCTTGAACAACCCACATCAGGTTACAGGTAGAATAAAAAGGAAAGTTGGAGTTAGACCCACCCAGCAACAGATTTCCCTTAAAGTCCGTCTTTTTAATTTAAATTAAAGGACGCCTGCAGGAATGTCACACAACCTGTTTGTGAACCCAGCCCTTTGTGTTTCTAATCTAACTGTGGCAGAACATAGCTGCTTTAAAAACTGATAACAGAGTCTCCTGGATTAGCTAGTCTAGGTGGCTGAGGAGAACTCTAACAACAGAAACAGAGAGTACATTAGAGATCTTTCCCCTTTCCCTGAACAAGACCTATGGCCCTTCCAGCTACCAGAAACCATCACAGATACCTAAAGATAACAACCTCCATGTTATCAACCTCTCTGCTTAGTTTTGAAACTGACTGCATCAGGCACTAAAAAAAGTGTGTGTTTAGGGAAGGGCTAGAATACCTTATGCAAGCGGTAGTGTTAGATGTTCTAAGAATTATGCAAGAGACAAGGATTGTTTGGGCGTAATATCTTTTATTAGACTAAATGCATGTTTAGAATAAACTTAGACAAACTTTTCAATGCAAGATGTTTCTCAACATGCCTGATGCAAGACTGGAAGATTAGACTAGTTGCAATAAGAAAGAGGGTCTAGAAAAGAACTAGAAGTAGGAAAAGAAAAATCAACTTGGACTAATGTGGAGAGGGGTTGCTAGGTAGGTGCTGGAACTGTCATTAGGGGAGAGGAAAAGAAAAAGTTCAGTGTTTATTGAGAGGGTTGAGGAACTCTGGACATGCCTACGTTAAAAATTGCAGTGTTGCAACCTCCAGCCACACACACAATGCAGTGCAATTATTATTGAGCATTGCTGCACCATTCATAATTCCTAGCACAGCATCCTAGAGCACACACCAAACCTCTATGGCAGAAGTTCCAAACCTACGATCAGTGAATTACTGATGGTCAGTGCAACACTTCCAGTGGTATTTAGGGAGACAGCTGGTCACATATTGTTAGTTCAACTCCTCAAAACCATCAGCTAAATTTTAACAGAGTACATTCCTACCATATTTTCTCATATATAAGATGACCCTGATAGTAAGGTAATTAGATTTTAAATATGGAACATTTATAAATTTGTTTGAATTTTCCAGGGATAGAATCAAATTATTGAAGATTTGCCTTGAATTTATCCCCCTCCAACTGCTACAGCATGGAAAATAAATGGGGGGAAGGGGGCAGGTAGCTCCCTTGCTCTCTGCCTCCCCTCAACCTCTTCCCTGCTACAGCCCCTTCCCTCCCTATTTACTGTCAGACACTCCTATCATTCTTCAAGGGTATTTTGAAAGGGGAAACAAGCAAGTGTGAGACACTGATGAGCTGGGCTTAGGTAGCAATTTTTGCTGCATATTTTTAAATTAATGTTGGATATTTGGGCCAATACCGATGGCCGATTATTAACAAGTCATATCAGCCGATACTGATCAGATTGCCAATAGGCAGCCCAGCATCTTGGAGAGCAGTGTCCAGCTGGTAAGTCTGTGGGGGAAAAGGGGCAAGGGGAGGGAAGGAGTGCGGGGGGGGGCAGATTGAGGCCCCCATGGTGAGGGAGGGAGAGGGTTTGGGGCATGCGCTGCCCAGCTGGGGCAGGGCGGGGTGGGGCGCGAGACAGCTACGAACAGTTTGTCTGGGGGCATGGGGCAGGAAGCGGGTGGCTCCCACCACTGATGCTCCCTGTGGGAGTCATGGAGGGCATATGCCACCTGGGCTACCGCAGTGGGCTGGAGTCAGAGGTGGTGCCAGGATCTTCTTGGCGGGCAGGGGAGGAGCTGGGCCACAGCTGTGCGCAGGGTGGGTGGCGGTGGCACTGGGAGGAGATGGTTTGGGGAGGGGGGCTACTGCAAATTTTAGGGTGGCTGTAGCCCACCCTGTAGTTCCTCCTCCCAGCACCACTGCTGCCCACCATGCACACAACCCCAGCCTAGCTTCTCCCACTGAGAAGATCTTGGCACCACCCGCAATCCTAGTGGCAGCCTGCCCTTGCCCCGCACAGATCCAAGGGAACATGCACCTCCGTGCTTCCCCCAGGGTGCGCCAGCAGTGGGAGCTGCCCTCCCCCCACCACCACCCTGGATGAGCCATTCGTGGCTCTGCCGTGCACCCTGCCCTGCCCCAGCTGGGCAGCACCTGCCCCTGTTCCAGCCCTACCCCTACTCCCTGCCTCACCGTGGGAGCCTCAATCTGCCCCTGCCCCACCCATTTTCCCCCACAGACTTACCAGCTGGACACTGCTCTCCAAGCTGCCGGGCTGCGCACACGCATGCAGCATTTATCAGCGACATTATCGGCCACATCAGCCAAAAAAAGCCAATTGCCGATAATGTTAATTTTGCTTTAATCAGTGCCGATGTATGAACCAATGTCTTGGTGCAGGTCTAATTAATGTCCCTTTTATTGTTGTAGATCTCAGAAGCAAAGGAGTGCATGCAGGCTATTGACAATCCCTATTCAAATAAAAAGAGGGATGATGGATGCTAGTACATGCACGCACAGAGGGTTTGCATGAGGATAGGAGCTGTTGTCTAGACTTGATTTTCATTGTTTTTCAAGTGACCATTTCATGGAGAAAGCAGAAGAGGATTTTTTTAATGCATCTGAAATAAAAATCTAGACAAAACAATTCAGAAAATAAGAAAGAGCATGGCTGTTGTAAATGCTCCTCATACCTGTGTGGGTTCGGATATGTTTCTGCAGGTCTCCAGAGGTCTTGAACGACTTAGTGCAGTTCTCCTCTGTACATCTATAGGGCTTCTCCCCAGTATGTGTTCGGACATGACTTTTTAATCCATAGCCTTGAAGACAGTTTTAACAGTAAGAAGGAAGGAACAGAAGAAAACAGAACAGAAAGGAAAACCCAAAACTTAGATATTACAATACTGTATGATTGAAAATATATCAGTCAGAAAGTATCATATCACACAAAAAGCCTGCAAAGGGCCATGGGGAGTGGGAGGAGGCTGATCAGGCAGGGGGCACCATGTGTGTGCACGCACATGCACATGGCAGCCAGGCAGCGGTGAACAGGTGATGCCAGGGCTGTCCTGGAGGGGGGAAGTGGGGGGCGAATCAGGGAGACCACCCTGGGCCCTATGCTTTGGGGGGCCCTGTGGAGCCGGCTGGAGCGGCCGCGGTGACTCTGTGCTGCTGCCAGCTTCATGTCCAGCTGCTTGGCATCCCCACCCACTCCCCGACCACCGAATCTGCTGCCAACTTCCTTGTGTCTGGGGGCAGGACCCCACACAGGCTGATTTGCCCTGGGCCCCGCACCCTGCTCGGATCATCTCTGGGTGGTGCAATCACCTATCCTGGAAATCTTCAAGAGGATACTGGATGGTCACCTTGCTGGGGTCAGCTGACCCCAGTTGTCTTTCCTGTTAGCGCAGGGGGGCTGAACCTGATGACTTTGCAAGGTCCCTTCCAGCCCCTTACAATCTATGAATCTATGAGAGCAGCTCCCTCCCAGTAAGTTTATGTGGAGGGGGGGCAAGAGGGGGTGGGAGGAGGGGCACAGGTCATGTGGTGGGGAAAGGGACACTACCCACACACTGGGGCAGGGGACTGGCATATAACAGGGCTGCTCAGCACCACAAAGCAACAGGGGGAGCAGCCACAGCTGGACCCTCATCCTGGGGAGCAAAGCGGGTAGGGGGAACTCTGATTTTCCATAATAAAAAACCCGAATATCATATGCCAAAATTTATAGGTATTTAGAATTAATTTTATTATAATAATTGAGGCACTGGTAGGCTTCCAAATTGCTTTAAAATTGTAAATATATCAATAAAGCATTGTGTTCAACTGACACCTATATATATAGTGGTGTGTCATTTTAATCATGGAAAATGTGGATTTTGGAGTTTTTAATCAGAGAATTTGGGATTTTTAACTCAGAGAATTAAACAGAGAAAACCACAATCCCTGGTGATCAGAGACTTAGATACCCTTATGTGTAGACAGCTAGTTGAGCCTTGATATTTTTACCTCATTAGTGTGGTTACTTTTGTTTCACATTAGAAATTTCTGTTCATAGCATAAAACTGATAACAGAATGCTAGATTGCACATTTTCCTGTTTCTTCCTCTCTGTTTCATTACATTCCCGCTTCAGCTGCATTCAAATACCTTTCTTTTCCATAGTCCTCATTTCATCTTCACCAAAGAGCATTAGCTGAAAATATGTCCGTTTCTATACAATTCTCATACATAAATTAATGACAAGAAGTGCTTTGGCACAGCAGTTTAAAAACTACATTATTGACCTTACTTCTTACATAAGAGACAGACAGAAGAAGACACTCCACCAATATTACCTGTTGCAAAAGCTTTGCCACAGCCAGGATGTTCACACTGATATGGTCTATCTCCTGTGTGTGACCTTTCATGCACCTGTTAAAAAATATCCAACACACCATTATAATAAAGCTGTTACTTGATTTCTCCAATACAAAAATTATTTCATTCTCAGACACTAGCAGTTCCATTTTTCCTTCTGGAATTTAGTCTTCCAGAAGCATCCTTACTTAACTAGAGATGCAGATTTAAAGAAGTAGGATGACAACATATACTGAGAATTAATAATGTTTGTTTTCGCTTTCTGATCTAATAGCTCTGGTCAGTTTTACAGAAACAGGTTTCTGTAAACATGCGCAGGCCAGCCATCAAATAGGCAAAACAGTGAAACTGACAGCAATCTGAGTGATTGTATATGTGCCTCAAAGTCCACTCTCCACCCTAACCATCTCTCAACCCCCACAACCTCTCTTAGTGATATTCCACACTGCATGAGACATCTGGCCAGCCTTCCACCACAGCATTAGACCCACACAGAGTCAGAGACTAACTGCCTCTAGACCGGTAAGTCTCAACCAGGATGCTATGACACCTTGGGGTGCTGTGAGGATGCCTTCAAGGGTGCCACAAGGTGCTATACAATGTTAGCACTGTTAGGTTTACAAACCTGATTCACATGATAAACTCAGGAATCCAGTATTAAAAAAATTCCACCCTGTCATGGTCTTTCTGAGTTCTTTATAACAGAAGAACTGTTCTATTAATATCTTCTGTGGTCAAAAATTGACTGAAAACTCACAGCTGGCATTTTCCAAAGGGTGCCTCAAGTCTAATGAGAGGTACCTTGAGTCTGAAAAAGTTGAGAACCACTGCTCTAGACTGTGTCACACTGGAACGGAATCCAACTGTACCCTGCCTCCACCTGAAAGCAATTAACCCAGACATTTCTCTACACTTTCCCGGTATCAGAGCTGAGCCCTAGATTAAGACAGGGAACAAGGGAGTGGGGAGGCAGAAAAGAACAGATGTTCCAGATTTTTGTTTCAAATATTTGATCACTCTAAAGAATTAGACATTTCAATAGAGTAATGTTATACATCACAAGATGGGAAACTCTGCTGTATTATGTATACATGTGAATTGCACTGTCAAATAAATCTCATTTTAGCTTTCGAATACTATTGGTTATTTTGATGAAAAAAGATACTCTCTGTGATGTTGCCAACACATGAGCCTAATATAAAATGCTGTACATCTGTTTCCATCATGCCTTGACAATCAGAAGAATAAACTTTGTTCAACCTTCTTTTCTGATGATCTTTCCTGTACTCAGCTGTAATGATTTTTGTTCCATACATGCTCTATGCAGCGTTTCTCAAAATCAGGATCCGAAAACCTCAAAAGTTTCATTACATAATACGTTGGACAAACTGAGCACTTGGGGCAGACAGACTACTAACTGATAGAGATTTCAGTGTACTATATTTTATGATAAAATAATGCCACTGTGCCTGACTTAATGCACACTTCCATTATTTTTGCTCAGATACTTTTAAGGAAGATTTACAAAGCACCAGATACTCATTAAGACTTCTTACCTTAAGATGATGAGCTGTTGTGTACAGTTTCCCACAGCCATCATATTCACAGCGAAAAGCTTTCTCTCCACTCTGCTGAGATTTAGCAGTCACTCTTGTGCCATGACCTTGCAAGACAATCTAGGATAAAACAAATACCATGATATTAAAATGAATTTAGTCATGATTCTAATCAGTTGGACAAATCTTGTTTTCAAAAGTGTTTATCCTGATTAAAGGTGCTTCTGAACACTGGCAGCTTGATTTGCCTGACAACTCCAGTCAACAACAAATATGCATATTTGTATCTTCTGAAGTGATGCTGAACTGACAATGAAATATTAATAGGTTTAAAAATACACAGCCAATTTGATGTAAGTTAAAGAATTCCTGCATTCACTGATTCTTTTCTTGCAGTCTACATTCCTCTGAATTCTGTCTTTGAAATGCCCTTTGAGTTTCATTTTCCATTACTTTTTAAAGTAATACTCCCAATTTGCCTTTTAAAATAAAACATTAAATATCAGGTGACCTGAATTCAACCTCAGCTCACTTAAAAAAACAAATAAAAACTCTAGGAAGTTTTGTACAACCCAATATTAATTCACATAGACTTTTAAAAAAATGTATTTCCATTAATATAGTGACCTAAACCTTCCCCAGCAGTATTTGTAACAAATCTTGCGGCAACAAATTATTGCATAAGGACAAAAACATGACATTGATTAACTATCTACAATTAACAAACAAAACTAACTAGACCTTCTTGGCTGCAAGTCATTTGAGGATACCTGTTGTACAATTTTTTGAAGTAACCAAAGAACACTGCAACAGCATCTAGATAACAATAGCCTTTCAAAGCCCAACTCAAGAAAGTCAGATAGGCTGCTGACAGATGTAGAAAAAAAGCAGCGCTTTACTGGAAGAGGAAGCACGTTACTTTGACCCGGCTTCCCAGTATCTGTAAAGATTGGGTGCTTCGGTGGGGCTTTTTGGTGCTTTTCTCCAATAGCTGATTCAATCAACTATTAGAGAAAAGCACCAAAAAACTCTACTGAAGTGCCCAACCTATACAGACACTGGATGAGCCAAGTCAAACTACAGTAAAATCTCTGTTATTCAGCATGAGTGGGGAATGCTGGGTGCTGGTTATGTAAAAACTAGCCAATTGCCCATCAAGAATGACGGGGGGGCAGAGGGAGGGGGCTGGGATGGAGTGCTGCCACCTAACGCCCGATGCTGCTGCTGTTCTGCCTCTTGCAGGGAGCAGGGTGGGGGAGCCACGGTCAGCAGTTCCCCCACCCTTTGTCCAGTCCTCGGTGCAGCTTCGGAATTATGGTGGCGCTCCCCCATGTTTGGAGCACTCTGACTGGCTGTTTCTGTCAGCGAATCAGAGTGCGAATAAAGTGTTACGGACAGATGATAGGCTTAGGCTTTTATAATATTAGAATTCTGGATATCTAAAAATATCAGAGTGGTGGGGAAGGGGAGCTTGCGGTGGCAGTGCAGGATGGTAAATGGTGGCAGTGGCGCAGGGTGGTTGCACATGGCTTGCACATGGCAGCACAGGGTGGTGCGATGCCAGTTAACAGAGTATTCCGGTTAGCAGAATGCCGAATAAAAGGGATTTTACTGTAATGTGATGCCTCTTCTGGGCATGTGCTGTGCTCAGGGCAGGGGTGCACCAAGCTGAAAGTAAAGCACTGTTTTGTTTTTTTCCACTTCTGTAAGCAGCCATACAGTCCAAAATGAATAGATATAAAAATGTTGGTATGGTAACTCACTATAACTCACTTAACTCACTAAACCAAGTTCTTTTTAGATGGGTCCAATTGCTGGCCAAGAGCATTTCTCCTAAAATACAGGACTATGTATTTCAAATTATTTCCTCTAGAACCTTTCTTAAGGAATCTTTGGTTAAGATGCTCCCAGTTAACCTAAGACTGTTCTTAAGACCCAGGCTTCAGAGTTGAATAGGGTATCTGAGTGGGACCTGACATACTTCAACTTCAGTTTTCAGCACACGAGTTTCTCCTGAATCAGTGAGCATATAGAACCTTGTAAATAACGCCCCCCCAGTAATTATTATTACTCTTGGACCTGCAGCCTGCATATCACTTATTATAAAATCTGTAATAAACACTTACTATATAACATGTATATTACAAAGAGAAATTGTGCATCCAGTTTCATGACCTTAGTAGATGACCACTATTTCCAGTGCAAAGTGCACTTAAGAGAATACCTTTTCATTTGACTGCCATACAGAGTAGCACCAACAGGAAGTATTTAACCTTAAGTCAAACTGGTAGTATATTTGTAAACCCATATTTCATTGTTACTTTCACATCACTGCAGCAGATAAAATATGCATACTTGTTGCCGATTCAAGATGTCAGGCAAATTGAGCTGTGAGTATTCAGAAACACCTTTAATTAGATACATAAGCAATAATTCTGCTAATGTGATGAACTGTATTCTTCAAACAAAGATTAAGACCTGTACATTATTAAAGGATTTACAGGGATATAGATGAGAAAGAACTTATAATAAATGTAAACATTTGAAAATAACTCTCCCCCAGAGTATCATTAGAATCAAGTTAGAAATGATGTGGTTGCCTAATTAAATTACAATCCAAGAAAGTACCTGCCTTCCCATAATACATGCAGCGAGATGCACACAAACTGATTAAATTGAAGAATACCAAGGATTTAGCACTAATTATCATGCAAAAAGACAAATTACGTTCTTATGCAAACATCTTTGGAAGATTATCATCTCTAAAGAAAACAGGAAACTAGAGCACTAGAATTGATATCAGAGAAACACTGAAAATAATGATAATTTTGTAACATGAAACTTCTTCCCTCAAAGTAGCCTTAAATTGAAGTAAAAAGGTAACTGCAAAGGAGAGCATAGCCATATGTACATCCAAACACAGTTTATAGTTGTAACACAGGAGAGGAACAATAGGGGTGACAAAGAAATCTATAAAGGGGGTGTGTGTGTATGTGCATGTGCGTGTATTTCAAGTACATTATTCTTGCAAGCAGATGGGCATCTTCTGCTTGAAAAGAAAAGCATTTATAGCATTAGAGATTCATTTGCTTATATCTATTCTTTTGTTCTCACGCATACAATTCATGTTAGGATTTACAAGGAGGTTTTGTGTTCTTCTATGGCGTGAAACTTAACCTTATGACTGTTCCGCAGTATGACATCTGTTCTGTTCTTGTGTTACAGAAGACTGAGAAAAAGCAGTATATATACTTATTTAATACTAAAGGTAAAGCAGAAGATACAGATTCTTATGAAGACCTTAAAATTATTATGAAAATTATTATCCCTGAGAGAAAACATGCCTGAATCTAAAGGAAATTCAGGTCAAGATTTCCAAAACTGAATAGCGATTCTAGATGTTCAAGTAAAGATCCCCTAAGGCAGTGATTCTCAAGGAGGGTGCCATGACACACTGGAGTACTGTGAGATCCTTTTAAGGGTGCTGCACAAAATTGGCACTGTTAGGCCTTCATACATCTGCACATGATTCACAAGATAAACAGATAATCCATAGTGTCAAAAACATTTCTGACTTTTGATTTTCCTGAGTTCTTTGCAATGGGAGAAATGGTTCTAATATTTTTCTATGGTGAAAAGACGAGTGAAAGCTACAAGAGGTGCCTTCATTCCAGCGAGGCATTTTTTAGGCTAACGAGGGGCGTTTTGAAGTCTAAAAAGGTTGAGAACTACAACCCTGAGGCATGCTATACATGAGAAGAGGTCAGAGTACACGGAGGTCTGGCTCAGCTAAACTGGCATATGCTTCCTCCTGGGCCACACCCAGTCTGTGTACAAACTGGAACCAGACACATTTCGCACCAATGAAGGACTTGTGATTGGATGATGATTGTAGTTTCTTTTCTTTACTCTAACAGGTTTTCTGTTACATTCAGGCAGTTCCAGTCAAGTTCGTATCCTGCTCTCCCTGGGGCTTTCGCATTCTGATAGGGGAGTATACTTGTTTCCAATGGCAAAGCAAGAAGAAGCGTCAATATCCATTTTCTTTTTTGGAGTACATTCCAATAACATGTCTATGGACAATCTTAGTTACCTATACAGCTATTCTCTCCTTCTTCCTCTGATGTAGCAGAAGGCAAGCAGAGGAATTTTGTGCAACTGCAATAGGGGCTACTTCTCAGAGCACGTTGGCTTACATAAAAGCTGCTCCTGTGGAAGTGATGGGAAGGAGCTGAGAAGGGTTGTGCTCTTACCTCCTCCATACAATGATAGGTCTGATTCAAAAACTCGAATTTAAAAAATGTAAGGGATAACTTAGAGAATGTACTTCAATTAGGGTTACCATACGTCCAGGTTTCCCAGACATGTCCTTTTTTTTGGACCCCTGTGCTGCGTCTGGGTGGGTTTTTAAAATAAGAGCAAATGTCTGGGTTTTCTGCTCTCCCAGGCTGGCTGCTTGGGGCTGGGAACAGTGGGCAAGTTGATTGGCTGTCAGGGGTTATGTGCTCCTTGTGCGGGCTCCGCCAAACCAATGAGAGAGAGAGAGAGAGAGCGCATGCGGGCGCGCGCAATGAGGGAGCTGCTTGGGCAGCAGGGCTGGGGGGTTGGGAGTTGAGGGGCATCCGCAGGGATGAGGGCAGGGCAGGGGGCTGCAAGTCGGAAGTGAGGGGCACTGGCAGGGCTGGGGCACAGGGGGCTGCAGGTCAGGAGTGAGGGGCACAGGGGACAGGACAGGTGACTGGGTTGGGTGTTCAGGGCACTGGCAGCACCAAGGAGCTGGGGGTCAGGAGTGAGGGGCACCAGCAAGGGGTGGGGGGCAGGGTACTGCTGTTTGGGAGTGGGGGGCACTGGCGGGGCGGGGGTCAGTGGGTTCGGAGTGAGGGGCAGCAGCAGGGATGGGGGGTGTGGCTTGTCAGTGAGGGGCAACAGAATGGGCAGGGGCAGGTCACTCTGCCCCCACCCCTCCCCCAACAGGTGTCCCCTTTTTTGGACCTGGAAATATGGTAACCCTAAATTCACAACCAAATACAAATTTTCTTTTTCACACAGTTGCCTATGAGAGCCTCAAGGGCCACAGATAGGACACTGCTCCCCTAAAATATTTGAAAATGTTGGTGCTAAGATATAACCAAATTAGACACCTTACAAATGATACCACAAAAAAGTACAACCAAATTAAGTAAGGGCTCTTCAGAGAATGAGAAGTAAGGTAGTATATTAAATTGTTTTCAGCATCCATCCTTTACTCCAATTTGCTTTTGAAAATCAACTGCCCTGATTCACTCTTCTTTATGAAGGAGCTCTCAAGGAGAAAATAACATGGCAGAATATTATTCAGCTGCACGTGCATTCTTATTCATGGTCAGATATGACTTTAGCATAACAATTTGTCATTTATGTTCATAAAATGGTTTCATACATGTCGTGCTCTGAAATCTGCTGTCAGTTGTCAGCAAGGTTTATAGATACTTTGTGCCAGAGGGCAGGAAAGAAGAGATCTAGAGCACTGGAGTTAGATGGTGCGTGAGTGACAACCCTCTGCAGCTACAATAAGGACTTTTGAGATGTTTCTGCCAAGGATGCATCAGAGAAGTAGAAAGGGCTCTTTGCACTCCAGTCCTGAACAGCGGAAGAGTTGAGTTCATGGCAGTAGACAATCTGATGTAATCTATTATACTTACAGTATCACATTTCTCTCTCTGTGCAGAAATTTTCTTTTTACTTTGTGGGACAAAATCTTGAGTAATTTTAATCAAGTTTTCTGCCAAATGAGATTCAGTTCTAAGTCCATCTGGACCAACCTGGCTTTCCAAAGAATTTACAGAGTATTTGAAAGACCTCCTCAGACGATAGCCTGAAATTCTGCTTTCATGGGAACAGTCTAGACATTTCTCCTTAACAAGGAATTCTCCGGCATATTTAAATCATGATCCCATAAATCATGTAAAAAAGGAAAAACAAAACCTTTTTTGATTTGGCAAGAAAGATTTTGGTCCCCCCCCGCATATCTTCTGTGTTGTTATTATGAATCTCTCTATTTTTATTTCTTTTACTCATGACCAGGGATTCCAGTTTTCCATTTGCCGTGGAAAAACCTGGATTCAACAGTCTCCTGCTACCTACCTAAAATGCAGCAGTGTTGCACAGCGAGCGGCGCCATTTCTGTTCTTTTATTTTTGCTGCAGTTTTTGCCTCTGGCCAATCAGCACTGGGGTGGGGGGAGGGTCAGGGAAAAATGCAGATATTTATACTTTTTAAATTGAGATGTTTTTGTTTTTTTTCCCCCATGAAAAACTAGGATCCCTTCTCTTGACTCTTAAAAGTTCAAAAACAACTTTCCCCTTTGTCTTATTCTTTAACAAAAAAGCATGAAAACAGAAAGATAATATCCCCACCAGATTCTGGCATGCCATGCATCGGTGTAGAATCTAGTTCTGGGCTCTGGCTTCATAATTTTTGTCTGGGTTCTCCCACTGTCCTCAGGATTTTTGAAGACCTGCCTTTTCGAAAAGTTTTTAAAATTAAAGTAGCACTAAGAAGGCCAGGAACTTGTTTTTTTTCAAGGAAACTTGAAATTCTGTGCTGCTTCTTTAAGGGTTAATTAGGAGTAACAGTCTCATCTACTGGTCCCTTCGCCAAATCTGAGAGAGAACTGGAATCCTCTGACAAAGGAATGGAACACTACAAGAGTGACTGGGGAGAGTGCTTGGAGGCATATACACTGCCCCCTAAAGAAAAGGGTCACAACTTTTATCATCTGCAATACTGCTGGATCCCAGCCAACTAAAAGAGTTCTATTAAGAAAACCCAAGTTTTTTAACTTAGTAGTTTTCAAGACAAAAATTAAAACATTATGTAAATGTGTTAATCCTGTGACTTACTTACTCTTGTGCAAAGGAAGAAATACAGCCTATCTTCACAGACCTGGAGCTAGAATAGTTCAGAGCTAAATAATTGTTCTCGTTCTAGCTGTTATGAAGACAATGACTGTAGATGACTTCTGTTGTAAAAAAAATATTGGGCATAAAGGGGACAAAGAAAGTAAATATATGGGCAATCCAAATGCATGGTATTGTATAACATACCTGCATTTTTTTATCTTGTTCATTTTCACCTATCATTCCTGTGCCAGTAACACTTTCACTTCCATCAATAGACACCTAAAAGGATATAAAAAACAAAAATATTTAGTGGTTGTTTTTACTCAGTACATAAAACAAAGAAGGACTGAATTGCTGAGGAATGGTGGGCTCATTCATTTCACACTTCCATTCATTTCACAGTTTTTCTTTTTGCTCTTGGAACTCAGTTCCTATACTACACGTTAGTTCGCAAGAAATGTAAAATTCCACAAATATAACCCATGTTATAACAGCGTTACATAATAAGCAAAATTCTGAGCTTCCCAAGTCATATTGATGAGCAGGGATCCTGGTTTTCCCTGATAAAAAAAATAAAATAAAAAAATCGCAAATTCTCTGAGATAAACCCCACCAAATCCGTGATTAAAATTAAAGCCCCCCCAGACCTGCTGGTGCCCCTTCAGTTGATTCATTCTAGAATACATCCTATTTCAATGTTTGTTTTTTTTAAGTGCATCTTTTCCTCTTATCCTGCTTAATAGCAGGATCATTTTCAATACCACTGATCCCTCTACTCTTAATAAGTATCTTAATGAAGAAGCTGCCATCTCAGATACTTCACCTTTTTGCCAGGCTGAGGAATGCATTGTCTAACTAATTCACATCTTACTTCTTAGTTTAAAATGGGATTTCTATAAAGTGATGCTACTTAAAGACACTATAGACAGACAAAATGTACTCTAATGTACCTTGGCTGCATACTGCTCCAGTGCACTGATGGTATCTGGGTCAATGGCAGCATCTCCTGTATGAAGACCTGCCACTGTGCCATCAGCTTGAATAGCTAAGATGGTATCTGATTGTGGCATTTGAACTGTATGGTGAATGTAAGCAGTGGTTCCATCTTCCAGCTGGACTGCCTGTAATGCACTCTGGTCATAACTGTCTGGGAAATAATTATTACAAGACAGACAATGAATACCAGTGCCTGCAACTGACCAATATAAAAATATAACGTGAGAAATAATCATAATCTATTAAAAGGCCACTGGCAAGTACAAGTAGAACAGGGGCCTCTCTACACATGCAGGTAAAGGTGTGATTGGATCTAATGCACGATTCACACAATCGTACCTCCTGCCATGCCACACATGCACGGCAGGAAATGAGATTGTGGGATTGCACATTAGATCCCATTTCACCTTACTGCTGGTGCAGGGGGAGCCCCGGATTGGGCAAGCTCCCACAGTTGGCAGACCCCTCAGCTGAGGGGCTCCCAGTGGCAGGGCACCCAACGCACCCCTGGGGCTCAGACACGCAGTGGCGATGATTTCACAGCCTCAGGGGAGCTCTGCAGCAGCTGTGATCTCACAGTTGTGGGGGTTTTGTGCACTTCAGGAGCTTGGAAATCCTGGCAACTGCATCTCTCAGCCCAGGGGCTCCATTCACCTCTGGGGCTGGGAGGTCACAGCCATGTTCTGTGGTTACTGGAACCCATCTGGGTCCTGGCACTGGCAGGCACGCTGTAGGAACCCAGCATCTGCAGCATCTGCACCCGCCTCAGTTCCTAGACTCCCAGTCCCAGCTGGGCATGGTGCATCCCTATAACTGGGAGCCCCATCAGCTGACGAGGCTCACAGCCACAGGATAGACCTCTGCTACATGTGCAAATTAAAGCTTGATAACAACCAGCTATGAAGTTAATATACATTTCTGAGGTTTAACTTTATAGCTGGTTGGAGCTTTTTATGGTGTGGTAGCTACTTTGCACATGTGGCTGGTTCCAAAGTAATTGCTGTGAAATTTCTGGACCCGTGGGGAGCCATGTGGGCTGGATAGCATGGCCCTGCATGCTGCAATGGGCATGTAGGGTGGGTTAAGACCGCAGGGCCTGACCCTGATGCATGGGGGTAGCCTGAATCCCAGGGTCCTGATCCTGGCCTGTGGGGGCCAGGTAAAGGTGATGCAGGGTCCTGGGGCCCAATCTGTGCATGTGAAAGTCAGTCAAGGGGGTGCAATCTAGCCCATGGATCAGCCCTGTGTCCCTCAGGGGCCCTCAGGACCAAAAGATCAAGCACCACTGCCTTATAATATTGATATCAGGAACACGGGTTGAATTTGTTGCAAGCTACAGCTTAGCAAAATATTTTATTTTTGTCCACTTATCAAAGTGGCAAGGAAGTTTTATAAAAGCCACAAAGCCTAATCTTCACTTGCAAAGAGGACCAAATCCACAAATACACATAGGCAGACAAGGTTCTTTGGGTGAATTTGATATCTTTTATTAGACCAACCCAAATGGTTGGAGAATAGTTATTAAGCAAGCTTTCGGGTTCAAAAACCCTTCGTCAGGCTAAGGAAGCTTCAGCAGTTGCTGTGTGCTCTTCCTGGATGGAATGAAAAGTAAACAAGCCAGGGGCTGGGCTGGGCTGGGGAGTCAGTTGCCAGGCAGATTACAATGACTCCCCAGCCCAGCCCAGCCCAGCCCAGCCCAGCCCAGCCCAGCCCCTGGCTTATTTACTTTTCATTCCATCCAGGAAGAGCACACAGCAACTGCTGAAGCTTCCTTAGCCTGACAAAGGGTTTTTGAACCCGAAAGCTTGCTTGATAACTATTCTCCAACCATTTGGGTTGGTCTAATAAAAGATATCAAATTCACCCAAGGAACCTTGTCTGCCTATATCCTTAGACCAACACGGCTACAACCTAAACCCCTACAAATACACATAGACATTTCTATGTGCTAGGTCTAATATGTAGTTGTTCATCTATCTTGTTTGTTAATACCATCAGTTACAGGTTTTTTATATACATCTGATTCCTGTAATCCTAAGAACCCAAGCATCCTTTCAATGGCTAACATGATATTTTATAATTACTTTGAATACAGGCATATAATACCTTTATTACTACACATGTGCCAGGGTATGCAGAAGCTGAAGTACTCTGTGAGTACACAATAAGCAATCACACTAATTAATTTCAATACATGAAAATAACACAGACTAGCAGAGTCTGAAAAATTTAGCTAACATATACTAGTCCAAGAAGTAAACCTTCTAACTAAGGTTGAAAATACCTGTGTTGTCACTCCCCTCAAAGTCATAAAAAGGAATCAAAGAATACTGTGTATTACATAATGTAGTCAAGCTGGCAATCAAACAAGTTTTTACTTAATTTTATTTTAAAACGTCACTTGATATGTTACCTGGTTGAATAATAGAAGTTATATTTGTTGAATACTATGAAATTAATTTTACGGTATTTAGTCCAGTAAAACAATAATCAAATTTCAAAATTCCATATTTACTCATCTCTTACATTCACATACAAGGGAACCTTATTAAATACACTGCTGCCAGAAGCAGCATGTGTTCAGCAATGAAAACCAACTATGAAGTTGATTAAATGTAGCCAGCACCAAGCATGTCTATAAAACACATGACCCTTATCGGGAAAACATACTAATAAGAACCTACCACAAGGATAAGTTAGTGCAGCCCATCTGAAGAAGACATATGGTAGGTGCCCATTGCACTCAGTCCTCATTACCGCTACACTGAATGCATTTAGACTTCTTTACTCTCACAGCTCAGCTGTGCCTTTCTCTCCCATTTCCAATGATTCCTGTTTCTTCAGCCTTAAATGCCGGGCAATCACCACCACACAGGGCCCCAAACAGTTAATCCACAATCCCTCTGTCAGCCCCTCAGTCTGTCACATATGATAACTGTGGTCCTGCCCTCCCTAAAATGGAACCAGACTAAGTTGCCCTGAGCCTCATCTGCATATAAATTTTTGGAGGATCCCAGAGCCCATGACAAGAACACCTAGTTCTGCTCATGAGTGGGGGTTCTAATTAGCACATTGATCCTTTGTGGGAGGTATCTGGAGTACACACATATACTGAACAGTGCGCTGAGCTGTGGGGTCACCATGGCCTGAAATCCTGTTGACTGCTGAGGCCCAGCCCAATGAGCTATATACAAATCATAAGCCTTTTGGCTTTGGACTATCATAAACAGTTTGTTGTGGCAATTTTACTCCAAACTATAAACCGAATGTTCATTCCTATCAGCCATAAACCTTTAGGTAGGTGTTCCAGCCTCAAGAAGCAAAATCCAGACAATACTATATATTGTGAAAAAAGTCAACCATCCCTAACCAAACTGCTAACAGAGGACTAGCATTCCTACCAGTTCCTCTCTTTGGCCCCTATTTGCAGGTTCCATATTTGCTAGTACAATTTTGATACTTTACAGTTCTTCTATCCCAATCATTGCTGGCTGACAGATGGGGGAAGGAGAATTCTTCCTTCTGTTCTCCCTTCATTCTCCTAAATATTGATGTGTGAGTGAAAGGAGTACTGCACGGCTCTAGCTTTCTGGTAGCCACTGCATTTTCCTTCCTAATAAACTGCTCTAGAACCGTCACTGTTGTTTACTACAGCTTTGTAAAGCTGCAGCAAAAAAAAATTTAACAGATTCAGGATTCTCTGCAGGAAAAAGAAAGTGAAACTCCTCTGATCAGTTTTCACTCTGATATGTCTTGGGAAAGTAGCAATAGTGACACCACTATCCTCCTTTTGCATTACTTTATGCAAATACAAAACTTCAATCTAGTTTGGAAACCAACTATGAACTTCACCATGAACTTCAGTGATTTTGGAAACCAACAAAATTTCAGTCTAGTTTGTCCATGTTTACAAGTCTTTCTTCGCAGCTACATATTCTAATCCAGTCATTCTCAAGCAGTGGACTCCAGCACCCTGGAGTGCCTTGAGATTTAAGGGCTCCACATAATATTAGCACTGTTAGGTGTACAAATATAATTCACAGGTTAAACCCAGAGGTTTCAAATAGAAATCCATAGTCTCAACAACATTCTGACCAGTTGTGGTCTTTCGGAGTTCTTTGCATCAGAATTATTGCTCTATTATTTTTCTGTAGTTAAAAAAATAGTAAAAACTGAGATGGCATTTTCCAAGGGGTGCCTCAAGCCTAAAAATGTTGAAAACCACTGGTCTAATCTGTGCCCTTGTACTTTATTAGGAAAGTGGACTGCATACAGAATGATGATTTTTTAAATGTGACAACAAATAAGAGAGAAGATCCTAGGGTATTCAATACCTTTATTAAAGTAAATCAGTTAATAGTTGATAATCATTTACTTTTTCTTTCTTTCAAACAATGTGCCTGCAAAAGAAATTTCTAAAGGGAGGGTCCTGTAATGGTATAATATGAGATTACTTCTGAGGCTCTTCTAAGATTATCTACTTTATATTCTCTCTCTCTATTTTTTTAGCTTTGCTGATCCTTACAAAATAATTCTGCACCATACAGGTTTAAGAGTGAAATATTCACTTATACTCTTGTCAAGCATAAGAATATTTCCTAACTAGTGTAGTTAATTACTCCAAAAGTCAACATTCAAACCTGAAATAAATAAATTTGCTTACTTGACTTATTGCACAGAGAATTCTTCTAAAAAAGTAGCATATATTTTAAATACTCTGTGGCTGAGAATTCAATCTCTAGAACAGCTATTCTCAAACTCTTTTAGACTCCAGGACCTTCCATAATTTTTCTAAATTTAGCGGCACTCCATTTCAAACACTCATCACACTCCTCCTCTTTTTTTGATTATAAAAAAATAATAAACCAATTCTGTTGCAAAGAACACAGAAAGACCACAAAAGGTCAGAATGTTTTTGAGCCTATGGATTCTTCTTTGAAATCTCAGAGGTTATCATGTGAATCATGTTTACACACTAAGGCTGCTGACACTGTGTGGCATCCCAAGGTACCATTTAAAGAATCTCAAAACACCCCAGGGTGTTGCAGCACCCTGGTTGAGAATGATTGCTTTAGACACTCTAATTTGAATGATATCTGCTTTCTCTAGCTGCCTCTCTCATTTTTGCATTACATTCAATCTTTACTGAAATTCATGTTGGGGTTTAAATTCTCCATAATCAGCATGTCTCTGCATTGAAAAGCTAAAATAGCCCTAGAAACCCACAGCAATTTTTACTCAATTGGGAACCACTATGTTCCAAATAAGGAACTGAACCAGCCTCAGGTCAGCAGTTCCATTTGCTAACACTTAAAATCTAGCTAGGATTTAATGTACCAAGTCATCCACAATATTGTAAATATGCTCAGAATCTAATCATACTGACCAGCATAGTATTCTTGAAGGAAATTACAACATATTTTTTAATACAATGAATCATACTTTGAAAAAGGACTTACCTTTGGAAGTATGATGAATAAATGCTGTTGTTCCATCTTCCAGCTGAACTGCCTGCCCATCCTCCAAACGAAGGCTGTCCCCTGTTCAAAGGGAAAAAGGTATAATTTTAGATATTTAGAAATAAGTTTGCTTTAAATCTTTACAAACAGATTAAACACTACATTCAAATCATTGTTATATCAGCCAAATTAATATTTTAAAATGTATTTCTGGCTTTAATGCACTTACTGCTTTTGGGCATAGATACATGTTGAACATAGGCAGCAGAGCCATCTTCTAGTTGAATCACCTGACCGTCCATTAATTTTCCATCTGGAATACATCAAGAGATTCAATATAAATTATCCCACATGACATATCACAATTTTAAATGCACTGCTGGTACTCTGAAGTGAAATGTTTCATAGAATAAAAATATGGTATTGACAAATACTAAGTACAATATTAATGTACGTGAACTGCTTGACATCCTGGGATAAAAAATGCTGAAGGTGGAAAATGTTTATTGTTATTACAAATATACTTCTATGGGCCCTTAATGTGTACATTGGTAGTATTTAGTGTTGAAATCTACAGAAAGGCTAATTACTTTGCTTTACTCCTTAATGGCTTATTTTACTAATTAATCCCTTCCTTCCTATTAACTGTAGTAGTAAATATTTATTTTCTAGTAGCACTTCAATTGGAATTGGAGCCCCATTGTGCCAGGGGCTCCATGAAAAGGAATAATCCCTGTCTTTAAGAATTTATAATCTAAACTCAGACACAGGTTCCTTAAAACAGAGAAACAACGTGGAAGCCAATAAATAAAGCAAAAAGTTGGTTGAGTTTTACTCATGTACTTACCTTTAGAATTGTGTTGTATATAAGCAGTGGAACCATCAGCAAGTGTAACTGCCTGCAAACTTACACCCTCCATGTTTTCTAAGTTGTCACCATCTATTGGAAAAAAAAGTTATTTTATAGTATTGTCAAGTTCAGACACTTTAAACATGGTAAGGCTCGCTAAAAAACATAGCATGATTTAAAGTATAATTATAGTGCAGTTTAGATTAATCAAACAAATTATCTAAACAAATGTAGTTATTTCAATATATTTTATATGTACAGTATGCTAAATTACCCCCATATATACAACAATATATGTGTTTTTTAAATGCCAAATTTCACAGGCAGAATGAAGTGGAGATATGTTAATCTGAATAGTTACCTTGTACAGCTACTGCTTCTGTCAAACAGAGAGTTACATGCTGAGCCTCCATTCCTCCTCCAGAAAATTCAGTCATTCCCTGAGAATCTCGATTTATCTGGGCTAGTAACATTGTCTACCTAGAAAGAAATGGGGAGTTTACAAAAAATAAAAACTGGATGCTGAACAATAAATAGTAACATCAAGAAATAAAAAATTACGTGCTTATTCCTTGCCCAATAAGATGGCAAACAAATCCTGAATTTTTTTTTTAAATCCTCTCTCAAAAATTTTACTTAGTGTATTATGGATATTTAGGTTTACCTGCCCCAGAGATATGATGCAGTGATTGATCAATGTCTCAAAGAGCTTAGAAGATGAAAAGTTATATCAGATGGCCAAGTATTGCTAGCTAACCTACTTATTTTTGTGAATTTTATCACGTAGAAATTACTGAATTTTAGGTGTCTAACTGTATTAAAACAAATTATAGAAATTATTCATCTAATAAGTAATGGTATAGTTCACATTGTACTATAATTTCTGTTCAAAATTAAGAATGAAGTTGTAAACTGTAACTAGAAGCAAATTGTGAAAATCATGTAAGTCTTAGTGAAGTCCTATAGGACTATATGTGCAAGCAGCTGCTTACCAGTGGCTTAATCAAGTCTGCTCTGATGCATTCTAATTAGAATATGAACAAGCATGTCTACAGGCACCCTAGGAAGTACCATAACTAACCTTACCTATGCAACCTTAATTTAGCTACCAGGGGCATGTCTATTACGATATGGTCTTAAATTACACTTTTTTTTGCACAGAATCCTGACCCCACCAACTCTGTGGCAGAACTCTGTGTAGTTCTCCTGGTACCATTTGCCTGTTTTAATTGTCAGATATTCCTTTCTTTTCTTGCTGTCTCCTGCCACACCCACCACATACCTACCAGCCAGGGCTATGCGAGGCTTCAGACAGACCTCAAGATCAGGAGAAGCTTTGGACGCTTCGGCATCCGAAGCAGCCATGTCCAGATCGAAGTGCTGGCTTCATTAGGCTTTCCGAAGTGGTTCAGAGCTTCTGAAGCACTTCGGAAAAGCTTCAGAGCCGCTTTGGAGATCCGGCCATAGGGTATAATGGGGAAACAATGAAATATCTATAACTTTGTCATTTTTTGTCTGATCTGGATGAACCTTGCAAGGGTGGTAGCCCCTGCTGAGAGCATGAAGCCTGCCAAGTGTCAAGAAGATAGGTGCAGGGGTTTGGGGGGAACTGTACCACAAATTCTTGAAAGCAAAACTCATGTCACATGTATGTGTTACATCACAGGGGGGTGAAAACTGCAGGGGTGGTGTGACACATAGGCGTGACATGAGTTTTGCTTTTAAGAATTTGGGGTGCAGTTCCCCCCAACCCCCTAAACTGATCTTCTTGAAACTTGGCAGGCTTTGTGGCCTCAGCCAGGGCCACCACCCCTGCAGTTTTCACCCGTATGTGATGTAACACATACACATGACATGAGTTTTGGTTTCAAGAATTTGGGGTACAATTCTCCCCCAAACTCCTGCACCAATCTTCTTGAAACTTGGCAGACTTCATGCTCTCAGCAGAGACTACAATCCCTGCAAATTTCATCCAAATCAGACAAAAAACAACGAAGTTATAGATATTTAATTGTTTCCCTATCATACCCTATGGCCCGATCTCCGAAGTGGCTCTGAAGCTTTTCCAAAGTGCTTCAGAAACTCTGAACCACTGAACCGCTTTGGAAAGCCTAACAAAGCCAGCGCTTCGATCCGGACATGCTGCTTCAGATGCCAAAGCGTCCAAAGCTTCTCCTGATCCGAACCTCTGTCTGAAGCCTGGCACAGCCCTAGCTGGTAGGTATGTGGCTTCCTCTGGGTCCTACTGCCCTGCCTTCTGTCATTTTTGACAGGAACCAAGGGCAGAGAAATAATACTTTTCCAATTTTTTTTTAGGGGCCCCATGGGCCGGAGAGAATGGCCTCACAGGCCGGATCTGGCCCACGGGCCGTATTTTGCCTACCCCTGAACTAAGGAGAGGAAATAATCAAAACAGACAATCAAATGCCCCAAGACAGAGACAGTCAGTTGCACAAGCACCCATGTCACGAGTTTTGCTTGTCCGCAGCTTGAGGTGCAGTTCCCACAAAACCCCTGCACCAATCTTCTTGAAACTTGGCAGGCTTCGTGACCTCACTAGGAGCCACCACCCCTGCAGTTTTCACCCCCCTGTGTTGTAACACATACACGTGACATGAGTTTTGCTTTCAAGAATTTGGGGTACAGTTCTCCCCAAGCACCTGCACCAATCATCTTGAAACTTGGCAGACTTCATGCTCTCATCAGGGGCTACCACGCTGGCAAGGTTCATCCAAATCAGACAAAAAACAACGAAGTTATAGATATTTAATTGATTCACCATTATACCCTATGGCTGGATCTCCAAGGTGACTCTGAAGCTTTGGAGCTGCTTTGGCCGGATCAAAGCAGAAACCCTGTCCGGAGCTCTGGATCAGATCCCTGGCATCTGAAGCAGCCAGATCTGAAGCCAGATCAGATCGCTGTCGACTCACACAGACCTACCAGCCTCTGGAGTACATGAAGCAGAGGACTGACTGGCCAGTTCCCCCGCAACTACATAGCGCCGATTCATTCCCAGAACTCCATCCACTTTGTGGATTGAATAAGACAGTGATCCAGTGGAAAAAAACCGCGTGGGATCATATTAATAAGGAAGTGTCATAATGCTCATGGAGACCTGTATTAAAATTGCACAGGTAACCTCAATTTGGTCATTTCCTAACTCCTTTGGAGACTGACTTTACAACCTCAATAATTAAATGTAGTTGGCGCAGTTTCTTAGATTGTAAAAAAAGTAAAGAAAATATAAATTACATTGTGTGCCATTGCATTGATAAGCATATAAGTTGTTTAATTCCACGATGCAGACCTCTGCACTTGAGCTGAGAAAGTAACTGATTCCCATAGTAGGCTGTCATTCTCTGGTTGGACCAGCACAAGAGATAAAACAGCATGCCAGAGGGGTTTCTACAGATATCAACTACTGCAGAGAAACAGGCAGACTCAGGACCCTAGTTCAGTTCCAGGCTTTGAATGGACCTGGGCTTTTATATACAGACATGTGCCATTTTCCTCTCAATCCTTTTTCCTTCTCCATTCTTCTCTCCAATCTGTTCCTACACCAGTCCTACATTCATCCACCCCTGGTTTTCTGTCCCAGGCTCTTGAAGGTGCTCAATGTAGGCGTTTGAACCACCTCCGGTGGCAGGTTGTTCCAGACCTTGGGGGCTCGGACAGTAAAGAAATTCTTCCTTATGTCCAGCCTGAAACGGTCTTGCAGTAGTTTATGACCATTCGACCTAGTCATCATCCCTTGGGGCGCTCTGGTGAACAAACATTCCCCCAGATACTGGTGGTCACCCCTGATAAACTTATAGGTGGCCATCAGATCACCCCTGAGCCTGCGCTTTTCCAGGCTAAAGAGCCCCGGGGCTCTCAGCCTGTCATCGTAGGGTCTGTTTCCCTGACCTCTGATCATGCGCGTGGCTCTTCTCTGGACTCTCTCAAGCTTCTCCACATCCTTTTTGAAGTGTGGAGCCCAAAACTGGATGCAGTACTCTAGCTGCGGCCTCACTAAGGCCGAGTACAAGGGGAGAATGACGTCCCGGGCCCTTAATCTTTCTTGTGGCCATTCTCTGGACCCTTTCAAGATTCTCCATGTCTTTTTTGAAACGTGGTGCCCAGAACTGGACACAGTCCTCCAGCTGGGGTCTCATTAGCACCAAGTAGAGAGGAAGTATCACTTCCTTAGCCCTGCTTGCAATACAAAGGCTAATGCATCCCAGTATATTATTAGCTCTGTTGATTACAGTGTTGCCCTGGTGGCTCGTGTTCATTCTGTGGTCAACCATAACCCCAAGGTCCCTTTCAGCCAGCATGCTGACCAGGACATCTCTTCCTAACCTATATTCATGTTGCTGGTTACTTCTCCCTAGATGAAGCACTCTGCATTTATCTTTATTGAACTGCATCCGATTCTGCTTCACCCACCTTTCTAGCTTGTCCAGGTCCACTTGGATCCGCATCCTATCCCACAGCACAGGGGTTCCCAAAGTTTTTATGCCACGGCCCGGCAAAACACAGCCTGGAAGCAACTGTGGCCTGGCAAACCGCAGCCCAACAGTCACAGACTACTGTGGCTGGAATTTCTGACCCGAAGACAAGTAAAAATACCCCCACATCCTGGTCAGGGGGTGGGCCAAACCCTACACTACCACGGGCAAAAGGAGCCACAGTTTGCCAGTACTGGGCTGCAGCCCAGGGATTGAGAACCCCTGCCCTAGCGTAACCACTTTTCCCTGCAACTTAGTATCATCCACAAACTTGGCCAGTGTGCTTTCCACAACCTCATCTAAATTGTTGATAAAGATGTTGAACAGCACGGGGCCAAACACTGAACCCTGCAGGACACCACTGGCCACCTCCCACCAAGATGATACAGTTCCATGATTCTCACCTGCCTGTGGGTGACTTCAGGCTCCCACAGAGTACACAGCACAACATGCGATTGCTCCACCCTCTGACTGTTAGTCAGCTGGCTTTGCAGTCTGCTCCGAGCTGCCTCCTCACTCAGCCCATCCCTGGCCATGATGCGACTCAGAGCCTGGAAATACCAAGAGAAGAGAGTCATTTGCATGTGCAGAAGCCCGGAGTCAGTCACTAACCCCAAATGGGTGAGGTGGGGCGTCACCTACCTCCGTCTCTGGGATGATGGCTGTCCACACTTCATGGACCATGTCTGACCAGCCAGCCTCCAGCAGCACAGCAGCATCCAACACGCACACAGCCTTACCTATGGGAAAAAGCAGCTGCCATTACGGGCTGCTCATGCCAGCCACCTCATGGGTTCTGGCAGACTGGCGACAGAGAATCACTTTATCACCAAGCAAGAAAACTCCATGCAGAAGAGAAAGCTGCAGGCATCACACTGGGAGGTGCTTACATATTCCAAACTTGATAGAAACACCTTCACTGGGCAAGATGGGAGAAATGCCTCTCAAGCTAGCAGTATTCTGGGGTACTTCTCCCTGGGGCCTCACATGATGCTTTATCACTGCTTCAAATCTGGGTTAAGAACCATTTGAGGCCTTCTGGAGTGGGGGATATGGTGGGGCATTTCAACTCTTTAATCAAAAGCTTGTAGCCCATGCCTGAAAGCAGACAGCCCCATTCCAACCAAAAGGCTGAGATGCACAGCAGTGCTGAGAGGCAGACATGGCTTCCAGCAAAGCATAAACATTTGAGTTGGGAAAATTGAACAGCACAAAGCTGATAAGAAGTCTGGGCAGCTGCCAACTGGGGTTTGAGGCAAGCTATGGCTCTGGTGTGTACTGTGTGGCAGTGTGACACGATGTCCCACCCCCCTGTTTTCGTTAAAAGCAGACAATCCCAGTCACCTTGAACAACTGCCTCGTTGATCTGCTTCTTCGCCATCTGGGCAATCACAGGCCACACAATGTCTGTGAGAGACTTCAGCTGTTCCTAGGAAAGGGGCATGATGGGACTTCAATTACTTGCATTAAAAGACAGTGACAGATTACCTGGGTAAATCCACATGTGAAATGCAGGGGCTGCTGTGGAAGGCACCCCTAATCTGCCTCCTTCTGCAGAGGCCCCAGGGTTTCCAGATGACTTGTATCTCCCTGAATGGAGGGGAGGGGCACACTTGGGAAAGAAGGCACAACCCTCTATCTCCTGCTCTCAGGTGGCTCCACTATCCATAGCAGTGTCTCAGCCACAGCTAGTGAAGAGGAGAAGCCTTTCCCAGCCAGCAGAGAGCAGTGGAACTCAGAGGTTCTGTCAGCCCCAAGCAGACCAGCAGCCATGTGATACCCAGACTCAGAGAGGAAGGAATCCTGGAGACTGATCCCTACCACACCCAGCTCAGTGGGTCCCAAATGGGATTCTCACTGCTGAACTACGTAGGAAGAGTAGGAGCCCAGGAGAGAGGAAAGTAGAGCAATGACCCATGTGCTCACCACTGCACTGCCTGCTCCTGCTAGGGGCAAGTCTGGGCCACACAGCACCATCACACCAAGCCAGTGCTCAGACCAACCACAGGAGATGTGCTCCCAGAATCAGCATGTGGAAGGCCCAACAAATGGGTCCCACCCTGGCAAAGAGGAAAGGGAAGGCATATGGCTCCCTGGGCAGCAGGGGAAGGCTGCTGGTTCATAGATTTCATAGATTTCAAGGGTCGGAAGGGACCCGTTAGATCATCAAGTCCGACCCCCTGCTCTGGGCAGGAGAGAGCGCTGGGGTCAAGTAACCTCAGCCAGGTGCTTGTCTAATCTTCTTTTGAACACTTCCAAAGAAGGAGAAAGCAACACCTCCCTTGGAAGCCTGTTCCATATTTTGGCAATGCTCATCATAAAGAATTTCTTCCTGATGTCCAATCTAAATCTACTCTCCTTCAGTTTATGGCCATTGTTTCTAGTAACCCTGAAGGGTGCCCTGGTATTGCTGGTTTCCAGCAATAGATAAAAAACACTCTTGAGAGCCAGGTCAGAGAGAACAACAAGCAGCCATGTGTCAGCAGTGCCAAAGCAGGAAACAACAAGCTGGGGCCAAAGGAGAAGAGCCCTCAGTGGTTAAATATTGACATTCGGCTGAGTTGGTTTTACCTGGTTCCCAAACACTTTGGCTCCAAGGACTTTCCTGTTAATCGTTCCATCTTCATTCAACAGGTCTGGAAAACAAAAAGGTAGCAGGTTTCTACAAAAACAAAAAAGGACACAGTTCAGATCCCCCCCAAACAGCCCAGCCCCAGGGGACAAGCTTCAGTGCTAAGGAAGGAGGGCATCTCCACTTGGGGTTCTGTCAAAGAGACACTTCCAAAAGAGTGGGAAGGAGGCTGCAAGTGCCAGGGAGGGGCCTTTCATGTTTTTTTGCACATGAATCAAAGGACAGATTGCTTTTCTCTGGATACTCTGACATTCCTAAGGGAAATTGGGTCCTTTCTTGCTCCAGCAGGAGAACCTGTAAATCTCAGCTGGAAAAAGGAGAGGTCTCACCCTTTAAGACAGAATTCCTTTCTCCCACCTGCTCATTAGGCAGCAGAGTTTAAAAGGAATCAAACAGAAACCCTATAAACTCCCAGTGATCTGCTCAGATGTCATGCGGCTAGACACCCAATCACCAAGGCCTCTGCCAAAGCAGACAAGACCTGTCTGTCTCATGGAAAAGACCAAAGTTATGTTTATGAACAACCTACTAGGCTTCTCTACAAATCAGCATTTTCCCAGTTCCCCTTGCACAACCCCTCTGAAGTAGAAGATCAGCTCATGTGCTGCCTGCAAAGCTTAGTGCCACATAGCACAGTACAGCCACCACCTTTTACATAGAAGCCAGGTCTAGCAAGGCTATATGTCCCAGCGTGTTACATTGCACTATACACACAGTAGCTTCTGCTTGACCCCAGTGACAGCATGGCACCCTGGGTCCTGTGTACTGAAGACAAAGACACTGTTTTATGCCACCACAGGCAGCCTCCCCCAACACTTCTTAGATCAACAAGGTCTGGGTGCCTTTGTTTTGCAGGGTCTTCCTGCCCCCACCCCTAAACAGCTTAGGGGCTCCCAACCCAACATGTATAGAACAGCTCCTCTCTGCGATGCAACAGTGGCAAGCAGCTGTTTGTTCAGTTCAAACCCATCCTCTGCTGCCAAGTTAAGCAACAGCCACAATCTCCCTCTAGAGAGCTAGGCACTCTACTGCTTCACAAGCAGCCATTCTCCAGTAGGGGGAAGCACACATTAGCAAACCCCCTGGGCACAAGGCAGAGTTGAAACATCAATGCACCACACAAGGTGCATTCCAACCAGCCTTTGCTCCCTGTCATCAGCTCCTCATGGACACATTCTCCAAGGAAATGCTAGCTCTGGGACAAGACCCAAGCCAGAAGTACAGAGAGACAGTGCGGAGGTGGCAACCCATCCCCTTTGCCCTACGGCTCCCTGCAAGGTTGCTAGCTTTACCTGCTCCAAATGCCTCCACCACCTGCCCATAGGCAGGGCCTCCAGGGGCATATGCCTCATGGCCCAGCCTGTCGACATCAACCAGGTAGGCTCCAAGGTGCTCCAGGTGCCTGGCAATGGAACTCTTTCCACTTCCTGTGCCTCCAGTCAGACCAATCACATATGGGCAAGAAGGGAGGTCCAAGTCTTTCTAAGGAAGGAAAAGAAAAGTCAGAGACTCTGGTGGGGGCAGGAAAGGCTGGGGAGAGGAGAGGGCCTGCATGTGAACCCTGTACAAGCCCTGGAGATGGCAGTACCAGTTGGACGCTCCTCCATGAAACATGATCACAGACATGGAATTAATCTGGCTCAGGGGCTCTCCTTTTGTCCAACAATATTTCATAGACATCAGGGCTGGAAGGGACCTCGGAAGATCATCGAGTCCAGCCCCCCGCCCAAAGGGCAGGAAGTCAGCTGGGGTCATAGGATCCCAGCAAGATAAGCATCTAGTTTCATCTTGAAGGTGTTCAATGAAGGCGCTTGAACCACCTCCGGTGGCAGGCTGTTCCAGACCTTGGGGGCTCGGACAGTAAAGAAGTTCTTCCTTATGTCCAGCCTGAAACGATCTTGAAGTAGTTTGTGACCATTCGACCTCGTCATCCCTTGGGGCACTCTGGTGAACAAACGTTCCCCCAGATGCTGGTGGTCACCCCTGATAAACTTGTAGGTGGCCATCAGATCACCCCTGAGCCTGCGCTTTTTCAGGCTAAAGAGCCCCAGGGCTCTTAGCCTGTCATCGTAGGGTCTGTTTCCCTGACCTCTGATCATGCGCGTGGCTCTTCTCTGGACTCTCTCAAGCTTCTCCACATCCTTTTTTAATTGTGGAGCCCAAAACTGGACACAGTACTCCAGCTGCGGCCTCACTAAGGCCGAGTACAGGGGGAGAATGACGTCCCGGGATTTGCTTGAGAAGCATCTATGGATGCAAGTCAGCATTTTGGTCGCTTTACTAGCCGCCGCATCGCATTGCAGGCTCATGTTCATCTTGTGGTCAATGATGACCCCCAAGTCTCTTTCTTCCATAGTGCTAGCCAACATAGCACTGCCGAGCCTACAAGGATGCTGCAGGTTTTTTTTCCCCAAGGTGGAGAACCTTGCATTTATCGGCGTTGAACACCATCAGATTCTCGTCCACCCACTTGCTGAGCCTGTCCAAGTCAGCCTGGATAACCTGCCTGTCTTCTGGTGTGGATGCTTTGCCCCAAAGTTTGGTGTCATCGGCAAACTTGGCCAGTCCGCTTCTGACTCCAGTGTCCACATCATTAATGAAGATGTTGAACAGTATGGGTCCAAGGACAGAGCCTTGGGGAACCCCACTGGTCACAGGACACCACGATGAGTGACTTCCATCAATTACTACCCTCTGGGTCCGACCCCGGAGCCAATTTTCCAGCCAGTGAAGAGGATGATATTAACACAGGCCAGTCTGTCACTGCCCTCTAAAATTTCTTCCCTGTGGTTGAAAGGGCCACCACATCCCTCTCCTTCTAGCTTGGCAGTCCAGGGGGAGGAGGCTGTCAACAAATCATCCTGGCATCCATGTACACTCTCCCATCTTCATTCTAGCAAGCATCTCAACAACTTATATATAGTGTCTACAGACCCCCCTAAGATCTTCCCAAAGCCGCTGGTCCTGTCCAGAATTGACCGCCTGGTGTCCCCTGATCCTGTCCCCATGTTCCTGCTCACATTCCTGCCCTTACATGGCATAAGACATGTGGCACTTCCATCATCTTCTTCACCCAACCCTTGAGGTCCAATAGACTGATTTCCTCCAACAGGAAAAAGGCCACAATAAACCCGCAGACTAGAGGTCTTGTGACAAGGCAGTTCCTCTAGTTACCAACCTCATACCTGTGGGGGCTGCAGCAGTGTCCCGAGCAGCCTGTGCCGGAGGCTGGAAGAGCTGATCTTTTCTTCTTCATTTTCACTATGCTGGAGATCTTTAACCAATGGGATCTCATGGAGAGCCAGCTCAGGGAGCCCCTGGGACAGAACAGGCACCACACTGCCATGAGAGGGTTGAGAGCCACCAGCACCCACTCCCCAAAAGAAGGCAAAGCCATGGCAGCATCTATGCAGCCCACTGTGGAAGCCCCAGGAATTAATCTGTTGGCAAGAAGTGCCAGAGCCAGAGCCGGGCAGGAGGTCATGGCCTCATATTGAATAATGAGACTGGTGTAACTGCAACTTCACCTGCTGCCACCCAGCACAGGTGGGGAGATGGTGATGGGAGGAAGACCCTAGAGCTAGGTAGGAAGATACCTGCCAGGCCAGGGCTGATTCCCAAGGAATCAAGAACTTCTCTCCACCAGGAGGGACAACTTCCCTAGCACCCTGCAGGCCCCAGATCAACCAGTAACTGTAGCCTGGACAAGCAGGCTAATCTGCAATTGGTGTTCTGGAGATTCGGGCAAGAGCAGCCAGTGCTAAGTACAGACATGTTACTAAGCTAGAACACTGGTCTGTCCGTAAGCCAGGGAACATAGCCTAACCTGTTAGGTTAGGAGCTGTCAGAGCTGCTAGGATGCCACTGGGGGGGTGGGGTCGGCGGCACTCAAACCCTCACCTTCCAGCATGCAGAGAGAGGGTCATTTTTCTTTTGCATGAGGAGCATGCCCTGCTGGAGGCAAGGAAGCCTAGCCTGCTACAAAGGCCCAGCACTGAGGCCGCGAAGTCCAATCAAACCCCAACTTAAAAAATAAACCCCAGCTCAAAGTGACAAATGTACAGGACCCACCTCCTCAGCAGCAGGCCCTGCAGCACTGTAGTGGAGCCAAAGGCCAACTGCATGCACCACAGAGCAGAACACAGCATCTGCCACTACAGCAATTCACTGTGGGCTGCCCAGTCAGCATCACCCCAGGCAAGTCTCCAGGCCAGACATGAGCTGGATCATTCCTTCCCAGGGTACAGTTAATAATGGAGGAGCAGAGGGAAAAGAAGGTATCTTCCTCTGGCCCAGAGGGGGTGTGGGCAGAAAGACATGGCTTTACACTCGCTGCTGTGAGCCAAGCATTCATCAGCAAACTTCAAAGATCCCAAGGGAGGGCAATGTTTCTGCAGAAGGCCACAAGAGCCCCAGCAAAGTGGTACAGATAAGCCCTGGCCATGGCTGCCAGTATACCCCACAAAAGGAGGCTTCCTCATCATGGCAGGGGGATCACTGTGTGGGAAAGGAGGGGTATAGGACCCAACACACTGCATTGCTCTGTTCAATCCAGCCATCCCCTGCACTCTCCACTCAGAACCTTCTCTTTGGAGAGTTCACTGTTCTCTGAACCCTCTGCATCCTCCCCACCCAACATGCTTCAGGTGGGCAAGTCATCCCCCCAGCAAGTATCACTAAGCAAGCAATCACATTGACAGCTCACAGCAAGAGGTGCACGTGTGGAGAGCCCAGGGCAGGCCTTGCAGATTGGGGCTGGGGGGCGCTGGCAGGGCTCTGCAGGGTGGATCTCATAACTGGGATAAAAGGGAGGGGCTTGCAGGTCAGGACTACAGTGCAATGAGAGCTATCCAGTGTGCCCCACTACACCTTGCACTCCCAGGGCCCTATGTTCAGTGCTACCAGATTTATTCACAGATGCCAGGAGCAAACAACCGAGTGAGGCAGGGATGTATTCAAAGTCAGCTGTAAGGGCATTACATTTTCCAGTCTCTTCTTGTTCACGGCCACCCCTCCCTTGCGAGTTTCCTCACTGACTACTATACACTTCAGGTCAGGGTCCGTTATCGATGGGCCATAGGGATCTAGCAGAGGCACAGTGTCATAACGCAAAGAGGGCTTGATGTCCACCAGGAACTCACAGAGCTTCTCCACTCGCTTCTCATAGGGCTGGATTAGCTCCTTTAGCAGCTTATCTGGAAGGGACAGGAAACACCAAAGGGAATTAGCTCAACAGAGCAGAGACCCCCACACCAGGAGCTAGCAGAAAACAAGGATGGAAGGGGAGGGCCAGGAAGGATGGCACAGAAAGCATTAGCAACCCTGGAACAACCCAAGTTCTCTCCTGCACTGCTGGGACATCACATCAGCAACCTCCCCGCAGTGGAGGCTCCTCTGCATCAGAGAAAAGCATCACTCTGGGGACATGATGACAGTACAACTCCTTGCGTACACTATCAGAGGAATGTCACCTCTGCACAAAGCAGCCACCAGGTCAAAGTCACTCAGCTTCACTCTGCTTGGCAAGGAAAATTTAACAGTGGATGGCCTGAGAAAAAGGGCAACATACCTGTCATAAACAAGCCAGGCAGCAAGGTATATTCAAGAGATGCAAAGAAGATAACAACCCTCCTCCTCTCCAACACAACAGCCCCAAGATCTCAGCATCTTTTCAGTGCAGATGCTGCTACATTCCCACTGCCCAAGTCAAATGAAGAGAAGCAGCCTGACAAGTCTCACTTACAAGCTCTAGCTCATTTCAAGTTCTCAGGCACAAGGCCAATGCAGTGCTGCAGAGGAAAGGCTAAGGACATAAACCCACAGGCACATTACTAGTCCTCCCCCCTCCCACAGGGCTTGGAAAAGTCTCCTTATAAAGGTTACAAACTGTGAAGCGCTCTCCTATCTCATTAATAAGCAAGGCTTCTTAATTACCACCAAGCCCACAGCACTGAAGCATCTCTTCCATTCCTACTGACAAAAGCCCAACTTCCCTCTCCTTTCTCTCTCAGGGTCTCTCTCAGGAATTTCCCCCTCCTGCCATCTACACAAACCACTTTAGCAGACCCCTCCCCACACCATCATGCTTGACAACACAACTGTGCTCACAGGCCGTACAAATGGCTCCCTTCTGTGCCGCTGCAGCTTAGAGAATCAGAGGGAAGAGAGGAGCAAAGGTAAGACGATAACCGATCAGGGCAACTCCAGTTTTACACCCCACTCACTTTCCAGGAGATTCTTGTCAGAGATGCCCAGAAGCAGCCGGTTCTCAGCCAGCATGCAGCACGTGCTCAGAAGGATCTTGTGGGCGTTATGTAGCCTATCAAAAGTGCCTCCTACAACAACGTCACTGTAGCTGTGCAGGAACATGCCATCCCAGTCTGGTTTCTGCAAGGGCTGCTCCCCCTCTCCTGTGCCTGGCTCATAGTCTGGGTACAGCAGCACAGAGATAAGATTGGGCCGGCAGCTGTAACAGCTGGTGGCATAACGCTCCAGCTGCTGCTTCACGGGGTTGTACTGGCCCCCATCGCTGGTCTGAAAATCAGTCAGGACCACCTCAGGTGGGTGGGAGAGATTTTGCACCGAGGACAGTGACTGTGGCGCCAGGCTCTGGTTGCGGATGTTGGTCAACAGGACCCGCACGTCCAAGTGGCCATGAGCGTCAGCATCCGCATACAGCTTGTTGATGACGTTGTAGACTTCACACGTGGCTGGCACATAGGTGGACTTGGGTTGTGACGAGCCTGTCAGACTGAGCCCTGGCTGCAGGTGAATGTAGAGCGTGTCCTCCACAATCCGGGAGGCTGAGGCCAGGATGGGCGCAAGGCGTGGGGACAAGGCAGACAGCGGGGCTGTGAGCACCAGCAGGCCCGAGCGGAAGACAGACATGCTGCCTGGAACAGACACACGGACAGGCAGGGAGAGGCAGTTAGCTGCGTCAGTCTGATGCCAGGCAGAAGGCAGGGCAGCCTAGCAGCTAACTAGCTCAGAGGAGCACAGGTGTTCAGAGGTGACAGCCGACTTCATCAGGGGCTATGAGCCTGACACAGTACCTGATGAAGTAGGTCAGAGGGTCTCAACCTTTTTAGACTCAAGGCAGCCCTCCGGCAACGCCAGCTCTCCGCTTGCACTTGTTTTCTGACTAGAGAAAAAGAGCACAGCAAGTCTTCTGCTGCAAAGAGCTCAGGAAGACCACAGCTAGGCAGCTTTTTAATGCTACGGATTCCTAAAATCTCCTGTGAATCACGTCTGCACACTCAACGGTGCCGTGGCAGCCAGGAAAGGGCCTCCAGGAAGCCCAGGATGCCGTGGCCCAGTCGGGAATCACAGAAGTGTGCTGTCGCCTATGACAGTTCACGCCTCTGACCAAGGCAGATGCAGCCAGCGGCTCCAGCCCTTCCCAGCCAATGGCAGTCCGGGCCCATGCCAGCTCTTGGCTCCTGCTCGACTTGGGCTACAGCCAAACAGCAGCATGCGCCTTGTGGCGCACGGAGCTCAGGCAACCGCGGCCGGATGGGCCGAGCCGACAGAGCAGCGGGTCGGGCCGAGAGGGGCCTCCTTTGGGACGTGCCTGGGCCTGTCACGCGAGTCCCGCCCACGCCGTCACGCTGCCCGCGGCACCCGGGAGAAGCTCAGGCACCCCGGGGGGCACAGCCGCCCGGCCCGGGGCACACGCAGGCGGGAGGAACCGCCGGTGGCAGCGGGAGGAGAAACCGCACCGCCGGCCCCACCACGTCAGCGAGCGGCCAACGGTCACTCACCGAGCGCCGGGCTCGAGGCGGCCGCTGCCCCCACTCGGTTTCCCTGAAGCCCTGACCCGGAAGTGCTCCGTCACCTGCCGGAAGTTCATCACCCCAGAGGGAGGGGCGGCAACTCCTTTCCTTCCACCCACCCCAGCAGCCGACGCGCAGTCAGCTAGCGCCGGGCAGCTCGCGGCTCCGGCCCCGAGAGCTCTCGCGAGAGGAGGCCGTGGGCGGGGCCGGCGTGGAACAGAGGGAGTGACGTGAGGGGGTGGGGGCGGGGCCTGGGAGCTTATTCCAAGCCCCCGCAGAAGGACTTGAACACGGACACTGAGGGCTGCGACGTGGGGCGTTTATTGACCCGGGTCGCGGCCACGGCGCGGGGTGCGCCTGCCCGTCTGATGGGGGTGTGTGCACACGTCTGTGCGTGTTGCGATGCGTAAGCGCATGTGTGTGCAGGTGTGTGAGCGCACGTGCGCATGTGCCTATAGATGTGTGTGCACGCCCATGCGTGTGAGCATGTGTCTGCGTGTCAGTGGCTGTAGAGCAGCAGGCTGAGTCCGCACGGGATCCTCCATGGCCACGGCTGGGGGTTGCCATGATAAGGCTTCACCTGAATGGAAAAGACAAAGTGCGCTGAGCCCGCGGGGAAGGAGGGAGAGAGACCACAACACACACGTGGGAACGGGACTGTCCCGTCTCCTGCTGCCCCAGTCGTACACACGGGGCCTTCGTGCCCCATGACAGCTGTGTAGACCATAGGCAGCTGGCACGTCCCGTTTGCTCCCTGCAGCCAGGCTGCTCCAGCTTGGACAGCGTGATGGGCAATGGGTCATAGCACTGTCCAGTGCCATAGCAGTGAAGTTTGGCACCCAGGGCAAAGCCTGCAGTGGCAGCCCACCCTTGCCCCGCACACAGATCCAGGGGGAGCACCCCCCATGCTTGCTCTGGAGTGCATGCAGCTGCAAGCTTCTCACGGCTCTGTCCCGTGCTCCACCCCAGCTGGGCAGCACCTGTTGCCGCCCCTTTACTTTGGTGCCTGGAGCAGTTGCCCCACTCACCCCCTCCCCCCCCCTTGTCATGGCACTGGCACTGTTAGCTAAAGGTTGGGAAGCAGAGAAGACTTCACAATACTGAAGATGCCCAACCCTTCCCTGGAGCTTTCCTCCTAAGGGCTCCTTGCAGCCCCCTCTTTCTTATTTTTTTTTAATTTCATGCCCTAGGTTGACTCAGCCACATCAATTCTGAAATCTATCAACTGAGCAGAACTCAATCATGCAAATCCGGGTGGCACTGCCACCGCAAGTATCCTCTTCCCAGACTTATCAGCTTGGGGCTTTGGATACTTCCAAAGCCATAGCAGGCATCCTATGTGCAGGCCCAAGCCCAGAGGTCTTGGGGTTCAGATGCCCCCAAGTGTTGCTTGCCCTTAAGCAACAGGCCAAAGGAGCAAGCTAGGGGGAAGTCCCCCATCTCCATAAAATAGGGGTGTAGCTGAGATTGCTCATGGGGTGGGGGCTGCCTGCAGTGCAAGGACAGGTCTCCACCTTTTACTGCATGTAGACATTCAGAGATCAGGAAGCAAATCTTCCTTTCTAATCACAGCAGGAAACCACCTGGACTGATACTACAGTATCTCCCCTGCCAGCCCTGTCTTTAGAAGGGGGATCAGAGTCATCCCCCTGCCTACCCCCTGGAGCACAAGGAACATTTCCAAGGGCCCCAGCTGCTCACAACTGAGATCTCAAACCTGCCGTGCTTGGATTCCAGCCCGGAAATCAAGGTTCTGTTGGCTAAGCCCGCACTTGTGTGGGAAGCTCCCGTAGCTAAGCAGTGCTTTCAACCCCCAGCATTGTCTGCATCTTGCCCTCCAAGTCACCATTAAAAAAGTGGGGGGGAATAGAGCAATTACCTGCTGTTGGCTCAGCCTAGTAGTGCACGCCCATCGCAGCAGCAGCCTCCAGCTCTTCCTCCTCCTGCCTCCTATAACTCCCGTGCTCATGATTCCTTGGCGGTGGGATGAAGGCTGGTCCAGTCCTCTCCACGTGGATCCCTCTACTGCTGAAATAGTTCTGCAGGGCACTTAGGAACTGCGGAGGGAACCATTTCGGAGTCAGCTGGGGCCCAACCTAGAAGCAGCCCTGATAGCTGCTAGCACAGGCTTCATCCTGCCTGCTGCTGGCACCACGCCTAGCCCCTGCAGCCCTTGTTTGGCAAGGGAGCAAACAGCACAGACCTGGAAATCACTGGGGAAAACTACAGTCTGCCTGGTGACTGAGCGCTGTTGGCCCCAGCCCTTTCCTTCGCTGCTGTGGAACCTGGATCCCCAGAGACCCCAGCCTGTGCCAGGAGTGCTGCACTTTAGGGACAAGACCCCATTGTTGTCCGGTAGCCTTTAGGCTTAGCTTGGGTCATTGTGTCAACATTCTCCTCGGTCCAGGAACAGCAGCAAGTGGGGAGAACCTCGCAGGTTTGTGGCTGGTCTGAGCTTTCATTCCTTCAGAGGGTTTGACCCATTCCTGGCCCTGCCAGTGCGTGAAGGCCCTGCCCTCAGCCCTACTTGCTCTGCCTATGAAGGGAACCAGAGGCATGCAGACATGGGAAGCAGGCTCAGAGGGCTCTCAAGGTACATGGAGTACCACCATGTCCCCCCTTGATGCTCCATGTCAGGGGAAGAGTTTTGCTCTCCAAGCCAAAAAGCTTTTGCTGTCCCCAGCAGCAGGGTCGTACTTGGCTGCCTTGCTTCCCTGCCATGGGTCAGTCCAATGACTGTGAGCCTCCCCTGAGTTGGCATTCCCATGGGAGGATAATCTGCCTGCTCTCAAACACCAGTTGTGCCTCCCATAGGTGGGAGACAAGCAGAGCAAGAGGCCTCAGCCATCGTGGCTGAGAAATTCATCTGGTACTCACGTGTTGTTTAGACACTTCTCTGCTCATTATTGAGGCCCTAATGGGCACTTGAAAATAAGCCTCCTGCACAACAGGCGCCTCCAGAGGCAGCAGGGAAAGCCAAGTGGCCATTCTCAAGGGCTACACTAATGATGCAGCAGCCTTAAGACCACTCACTGCCTCCCTAATTTCCTTTGATCCTGGGCCGTGTAATGGAGAAGAGCCTCGCCCCTTCCTTCAAATCTAAAAGCTTCAGGCAAGAGATGTGTTCACCCCTCAAGAGCCACTTTCAACCCCTGCCTCTCTGTAAATGGCAGCCCCTGGGTGCTGTATCTAGCCCAGTTCAGCTTCTGCCTCTGCTGTCCTGAGAAAGCAGCGTGCAAAACAGCTTGGCCCCAAAATGCAGAGGGGACCTTTTGGCCCAGCTCCCCACTCCTCACCAGCTCTCTGTTCTCCGGCACTTCCAGTGGGTTCCACCTCCCATTCTGCTGGGGTCTGTTTGAAGGCCGGGCCTCTGCCAGCAGGCACAGGAGGCTCAAGAGGGTGACTCGAAGCATCAGGTCCATCTCTGGAAGTAGCCTCTGCTAGCTGCAAGGAAAAAGGACATTACATGTCATGACCCCCAGGGATCCCGGCCAAAGGCAGTGCTGGAGTAGCAGCATCCTAAAGCATCTGGGAGTATATGGCGGACGTGGTAATTAGACTGAGGAAGCCTGCCCTGAAAATACTTGCCTGCGTGTGAAAGCAAAGGGGTTAATCCTTACGCCACACTTCAAATGCACCAGCCACTGATCTACTACTATGCGTGTGTTTGTTCCCCTCCTCCCGGCACCTTACCTGCCT